TGGACAAAATGACGGCAAAAGTTAGCGGATAACGTGCATGTATAGAAGCTTTAATTTGCAGGCGAAAACTGTAACGAGGTTGTAGCCAGATTGCCGAAATCCGAAAGCAAGAGGAAAGCGCAAAAGATATAACGCACGCTTCGTAGGTCCGCCAGTAGAATATGGCCCTTACAATTAAGCTATTCTCAGCGTAAGGGATGATGACGCAGCCCTTACGTGTCAGCCTACCACTGTAGCTGGATAAAATCACATTTTTGGCTTGGTTTATTCAGATGACCCTATTTACAACATCGTGGACTTGAGCAATAGCTACACACTTCGCGATGCCACACAATACTAGTCCCAAATTTTCTCCTATCCATTTAAGTATTCAACCCTATTTCAGCTTTCTATCTACAGACGTCACAAATTTATTGAATACTCACACATTTTCAGCTTCATTTATCCCCGACTTTCGACATGCAATGTACCATGACGGATTACATGGTTCACTACTGCCAAGCAATTGCTCATGCTGAGGGATTATGCCCACATCAGTTTCCACTGCCACTGTTTAACGTAATGGCTTTTACTCAGTATTTATGACTAGTAACATCCAAACAGTTCCACACCATGGATAGCCATATATGTCAAGACGACTTCCTCCTAACTTTTCTCGGCTTGAATAGAAGAAATAACACTTGGACATCGCCTACAAAAATGGCGTGCCTCCGTGTAACTCATTGCGCAAAGTATATATTATTTATGTTCTAAAAAGAAAGAGTCTTCATAAATGTATATTGCCGTTCCTGATCTCATGAGAGAGCCAGCGCAAAACGGATTCTTGAAAGAGCCTAGTGGACTCAAAGAATATCAGGTAGACCAAAATGACAAGCTATATATAATTCATACGGGCTGGTCATGCGCTACCCACTACCTTGACCACCTAGATGACGTTACAACCAAGCGTGACCAAAGTTTATTTGTGACCACCTTTTTCTCAGACTTCAAGCACTCATTCGATAAGGCGCCTCACGAACGCCTAGTCACTGAGTTGCAGTCATGTGGTTTCCAAGACCGGTTACCGTCCTGGCTTGGATCATCGTTAGAGAGTCACTCCCAAGTGATAACCTTCGGTAATTGGTGGTGTACAGGGTAGTGTGCTAGGACCGTTACTTTTCCTAACCTGTGTAAACAATATCCGCAGAAATGGCATACCTTTTTCGCAGACGAATTGAAGATAGTCCACAGCTCCTCCCGATCGGCACTAACGCAAGGTTTCTCCCAAACGTAAGATGATCTGAAGAGAATATTTGCATGGAGCGTGGCCTAGCAGCTCCTTATAAACACAAACAAAAGCGGCATCCTTCGTTCCAAATGATCCCACCTAGATGTAACGCTACACTTGGGTGACCCCGAACTGCAGATATTCAACACAATGAGAGACCTCGGCATCACTTACTCCAGGAGTTTGACTTTTACGAGGCATGCCGATTTAGTAATTTTCAAAGGCAGAAGACGCATAGGTCCTTTACACAGAAACACACTCACGCCTCAGGGAAAACTTATACTACACAAAGTTGTGGTCCGCCCAATATAAGAGTATTGCACAGTTATCTATGGTTACATGAAAGTATCTGATAGCATTCGAGTGGAAAACATCCAACGAAACTTTACTCGGCACCTACCAATGCATAACGAAAGACTTCCTTAGGAAGCATGGTTCGAAAACTAGAGATAGAATCAATCTGGCTGAGGCCCCCGAAACTCAACCCGACCTTTCCGACGAATGAGTACCGCTCAAAACTTCGATGTGGGTTTTTCATGGCGCAACAATGGTGCTGCCAGCGACCAAACCCAAGGGAGACCAACAAATCAGGTACAAAAGTATCACATGCCGAAAAATAAGCACATAAACTAAGTTGAAATCGAATAAAACAACTGACCCAGAGTAGACAGCGAGCGAAGTGATGCGGATTACAACACCTGACTGTGTAGCAACGCTGATGCAACCTCCATTTCCTCGAGACCTAAATAATTTCTGTATTTCACACCTATTCATCCTGAACTGTGAAAAATGAATCATTTACCCCTCACTCCAAGTAATAAAATTTAGCCTATCGCTAATATAGCTCATATTTCTCACTTTCATCTCACTCTAGTTATATCTTGTGGACCAACTACCCACATACCTCCACCCTGCAATAATACGGCGAATGCGCATTGGTCATAGGCTTCTGCAAGAAGCATTGGGATAAGCAGAAGAAAAAGAGGTTCCTTAAGAAGGAATTTTGTGATAGTATGCATTGATATAGACATACATCTTGAATACATAACTGTGGATACTCAATTGATACTCCAGATTGTATAAATGGGTCCTTTGTGGTTAGCAAAGCTAAAAACTGAAGATCGTTCTAAGGAATAGACTGTTATATGACTAATTAGCAAACTACACGTATGGACTAACAACGTTGGCCGGTTATAACGCAAACTTTGAACACTGCGCGCTTTCGATGTTGATAGTGGAACCTATCTGGGAGATGGGAGTTAAAAGTCCATGCTTGTCTCATGAACTTCAGCAAATTTTGATCAGATTATGCGCACTAGCGACCTGATATGTAAATTACTGATCCTAAATACCAGTTCGTAAACCTTCGAAAATTATGAATTTGACGGTGCTTGTAAACTGGTATCCCTCATGTTACACCCTTTATATGAGGATAATATTTATTATTATTATCCAAACCCTAACACTTTATATACGCTGTAAAGTGATATTTCCTTGTTCGTTTCATAACCAGCAGGATCTTCGGCTGTTTTTAATAGCGTTTATTGACATCCCGTCTGTGCCACTCAGGACTCGTGCGGTCTTTTAGATGTTTTGAGATGTATCAACGTGATGAAGCCTGTAAGCTGGCTTCTCTCACGTCAAACTTTTTCAATGTGAGAATAAAACATTTATTCATACAACCGGTTGCACACTACAGCGTGACGTGTGAAATGCCAAGCTACCGACTACAGTGCGAAAGACAAGACGTCTAGTTAATCTCAGTGTGTCGTAGTCCTGAATATGGGGCAGAATTCTTCCTTCTCAAAAAGCCGACCTTGTCGAAAGTATACCGCAGATGCCCAGTTGTAGGGGAATTCAGGGCACTATCTGTTGACTGGGACAGGCTGACAGCATAAGCGTTGAGCAATTCGCCCGATCACAGGTTTGCGAAAACATCGTTTTCCCTGGCCCTCATGCAGAACATCTCTGAGGCGCGCGAAGAAGTTATGTGAACCACAGGAGTGAGGCATATTGCAGTACAACCGACCTAATCAAGCAGGCGAAAAAGAACTACTTAATTGAAGAAGATAGGGGAAACCAGAATCACAGGCTGGATTTTTTGGTGAGTTCCTTACACTGGAACGTTCTTTGGACGCCTAGTAAACCTTAGAAACATCACCATCCAACAGAACAAACTCGATGGGTGTCTGATGAAACGATGCATTCAAGACATCAAGTGACCTGGATATAGAAGAATCAACTGGACCGGATGAGCTACACCCAAGATCTCCCAAAGGGCTTGTACTCCCCACAGCTAGCCCACTTATGGCCGTATTAAGGCTGTCTCTCAGCAAAGGCGCACACCCCTACTAAAAGGGAAAGTGCCATAGTCATACGTGTCTGCGAGACAGGCCTTCGACGACACCTATCAACCTATAGACCTGTAACTCTGACTAGTACTATGGTCAAAGTCCTAGAAAAAGTGATCAAGAGAGTCGGCAACGTTTGTCGGCAATCTACTTACTTGCATGGATAGGAAAGTTCCTTGTTGGTAGAAGGCGAAAAGTAAGAGTAAGTCTTTATCAATTCTCCTGAAAGCCGGTAGATACCGGACTGATGCAAGACAAAGTCCTGAGTCCTCTGATATCTCTCCCGACTACAAATGAGATGCCAAAAATCACAAAATCCCCTATGGTTCTCTGCGTTGATGATGTAAAACTGTGGCGAGAAATTAGGGATGGCGGGATCGTGCGCACACTTCACGCAGACTTGAGGAGCTTGTTAAACTGATCGGGGAAATGGTCGATGCCGATTAACACAAGTAAGTTTAAGAGAATGCATGTGGCGTCCAGATGGAAATACCTACGATATTGGTGGGACTCATCCATCCTCAGTGACCATGGAGTTGCAGTCACTTATGATTTGGAGATCAAAAGAACTGTTCATTGATGGCAGCCCAAAGTCTCGAGACACTTCAAGCATTACGTCCACAAAAATGAGTGGCGATATGTTCACCACCTTGTGTACATCCCAAGTTAGGTGTAAACTGGAAAACTGCGCACAGGTGGCCAATCCCTGTTAGACAGGTGATTCATATCTTCTGACGAGAGTCCAGAGGGCAGCCACTCACCTGATCCCTGTGATGGTTGTCCTGACCTACGAAGATCAACCCAAGGAGCTGAACCTTCTCTCTTTATCCTGTCATAGATAGAGGGGAAGCCAAACCACGCCATACGGGATTCCAAGAAATGACTTTAAACCTGACCTATCTCTTACATTCCTTCCCACTAGGTCTAAACTCCCCAGAGAACATAGTAGGAGAACACAAAAGCAAAGGATAAGCGTAGTCTGCTTGAAGTAGTGGTTATAACGTCGATTCATCGACTGGAACCGTTTGAGAAGAAATGGTATTCGCGTCATCAACTGAGTCGTCCTGAAGAGGACTGGACAAACAGTGATATTTACTGCGATGCGATTAATATAGACTCACAACCTTCTATACCCAGACGACAAATCCTAAACAAGCCAATTCTGAACACTGAAACATCTGATAGATTTACTAGGGGCTATTGTAGGTGAGTGACTACGTATTTTGTATCGATATCCCCTTGAGACCTAGAATCATTCTACAAGATCTTTAAGTGAGCGTGAAGAAAATGACTGGTTTATGGGAGGTCGTAAAACAGACTTAAGGTATTAGACGCTACTGAGAGATACATATTTATTTTAATCACTCGTTTATGCAACTAATCCCAAAACGGCGGTAGCGTCGTTATCTGTTGAAGACGGTTTGAATATAACGGTATGTTAGTGGTTGGGGAGGCTAAAAGTTATCCCTTGGTGTCATCATGCTTGCCTTAGGTTGTAGAGTTTTTTTCGAAAATATGAACATTTTCTGTGTTCTATATGATTATTTTACCCATCCGCATAGTTTTTACATTGTCATCAGTCCTTGGAAGGTAAAAGCAGGTAGCATAGCTAAAGTTGCTAGAGAATAGTTAGTAAAGAATGTAGGTGTATTAAGAAGTAGTGTTAATTTATAGTCATCTTACTGAGTATTTCGGTGCATCTACATTTCCAGTATTATAGGGAGTGTGTAGACACTGCAATTGGAGAGAGCTTCAGCACCCCATCGCGGTTCTCTAATGAAGTTCCAAAAGAAAGTGATCAATAATCTTCATTTTCTTCAGTAAATTAGGATTATATACCTCCCCGAGCTATGCGCTTGTCACTGGAATCAGCTAGGAATCATGCCTGCCTCCGAATCTAAGGCTATTCCTCAATAACTCACTTCTATTTCTACCTGCTTCCTCCACAGTTATTTGTGAAATACCTAGGCATGCGTGCTCCTCACTTTACACTACCACTGTTCCGGTTGTGTTATTCTATGTGTGTCCTTAAGTGCGTTCTATGCAGTGTTCAGTAATAAGGATGGTAAGCCAGTCGGCCTGTGTTGATTCTTGGAGGAGATATCTCTGTGAAAATCTAGTTTCTCTTTAAACGCCTTGACTGAAGGTGCTGTTACTACTGGCTGAAGTAAGGGGTTTCAATCGTTGACCACTCGATGGGAGAAACTCGGATTCACGCTAAGTTGATTTGACCTCGGATTTTGGATTTTCTTCTGATGCTCTTGGAGATAATCGATCCTAGCAGAAGAGAAAAGGCAGGATATATCACCTGATGCCATTATTAAGGATACAGAACGCCAGTATAAGATCACCCTGTTTCCTGCGGTAAGACTGGGAATACATTGAGCTTATCTAGTCGTTCCTCGTAGCACAGATTCGAAAGGGCTGCCACAAGCTTAATACTTACCCTATAGATACGCTCGAATACGTCAGCATCCTATGTAGGCATGACCAACCTAACGGTTCATCCAAATCCGCTTGAAATACATACCTACGTATGGCTCTCCAAACGTTCACACCATGGGTGAATAACAGCAGCAAGGAGTTCAGCATTTATGGTAATTCGTTGACATATAGCAAGAAAAGTAGAGGACCTAGGATTTTTCCTTGAGAAACTCCACTCATCACAGGTTTCCACCCCGACAGTATCCCATTAACTCCCACTTTTTGCCTTCTGTCGTACAGAAAGTCCCTAATCCAGGCCTGCAGTGAAGCACCGAACCCAAAAGAGGAAAGCTTTCCCAGTAATTTCAAACGTGGCACTTTATCGAATGCCTTACTGAAGTCTGTAAACACGGCATCCATTGGCAGCTTGCAGTCATGAGCTGCAACCAATTCCTCTCTTGCGATAAGGAGGTTATTTAAACAGGAGTGTCCAGTACGAAAACCGTGTTGCTGTGGTACCAAAATATTACTTGGTTCAACATGGCTAAGTACCTTATCACGAATAATTTTTTCTAAAACCTCAACAACTAAGCTAGTTAGACTTCCCGTGCGATAGTTAACCACCAACTGGCGACTACCGGCCTTAAAAATTGGGCTGATTGTGGCTTCTTTCCAGTCTCTAGGGAAGCGAGTCTGAGATAGGGCCACCACTACTGAGCACTTCATCATCATGATCTGCAGAGAAGACTTCTGTAAAATAATCTGACAGACATTAAGCTTTGGAGAGATTAGATTCCGCCAGACTATCGGACTTTCCATCTGTCATCAGAGGGAGAATTCCCCTTTTTTTAGTCCTCCTGATGAACGCTGTCTTTTAGTACAGTTTTGACAGTCCCTCGTAAGACATTCAAGATTGTGTAATCAAAGTTTTTCAGAGATTACTGACTTTACTGTACCCACTTTTAAATGCTTCCAGTCCAGTTTCCATAATGAAGTCCGATAAACGTTCTCTCCGCCGTAATAGTTTCTGAGTGTCTTTATTAAACCTCTGAGGGCTATGTAAAGATCTTCGTGGAGTCGACCATGGAGTAAATGACATCGTTACATTTTCAAATAAAGTTCTAAACCTATCCCTTACGTTCTCGATTGATGAGTCCTTGTTGATGGTCCAGTCCTTACTGAATGCCCAACCCCTCATACTTGAAATGTCTCCACGCCACGCATTAGGTCTAGGAAAAGTAGTGCCATAATCAAATGCGTTCAAAAACCAAAAGTTGGCACTATATAATCCCTGTTGGCTAACGGAGGGAAGTGTCTTAGATCACATTCGTGGGTTAAAACGAAATCTAATGACGATAGCTTAGGTACGAAATCGTATCGTGTTGCACAAGTTACGTTTTGAACTAAAGCAGATTCCAGTACCGTTAAAAGTAGATCGTTTCCGAAGGAACTGCTTGATGCTAAGACTGTTAGCTCCGTCCAGTTTATGTGTGGTGCATTCAGATGCCCAACTGTTTAGCTATCTGCTACTTATGCTTTATTTACGTATACGAGTGTTAGGGTAAAGTCATTTGCAAAGCAAACTGGACTACGGTAACTTACCCCAATAGTACCGAAACTGCTTTAACTTCAATTCACAACTAGTCACTTCCCAGGTGCAGCATTCATGTGTTTCGGAAGTGACTGATAGTATGAGGACATCATCATCGACATACAGTCGTATGCCGTTGCGACCCACAACCCTATCTGTCCCCGCACAGTAATACCATGTGGCGAGTGGCGTAAAATCCAAATTATTTATTAGCTAGCTTTCATTAAGTACCATTACATCAGGACCTAATTCACAGATTAGTCTCGAGGTCTGTCATTTTACTTTTAATACTGCGGAGATTGGTATAAATTGTTTTTGAAGAGTTCCATGACCCCTCTATACAGACCTTGGATGCATTCGTTTCCAAGAACTCACGACCCGAAAACCCATAATTTTAAGATTTTCTCTATTAATTTGTCTAGCCTAAAGTTAAGCGATAGCTTCTCTTCCTTTTATTCGGTCCTCAAGAGGCCAGTCAGTTCGGATACGGATGTCCGAATTTCGTAGCTTGGATGCATTACTCAAGAGTACATCCATTTCTTTATTGGCTTGAACAACCTTCAAAATCCTCCTCTCATCGGGTTTGTCATCCTTTTTTCTTGCTTAAGCTGACCTTTTTAGAGATATGTACTCCTTTGGATGTTTCAGGTCGGATATGTCTGATGGACGACTCGACCAGTTTCAGATCATGCGTATGACGTATCAAAGAGTCCTTGTCCGCTGACTGAACATTCCAGAAGGTCACGTTGGGCGTTGGGAAATCCTTGGGTCGCGTGTTGACGGCCCTTAAGACTTTCTCAACTGGTTTCATAAGCTTAGTAACTTCAGTGACAACCTTTGGAGGTTTCTTCGGATTCTTTCTTGAAGAAATCCACTCAAATTCGTTGATCACCTTCGTAGCGTTAACGTCGCTAACGGAGACGCTCTTTCAGAGAATCTTGGGCATCATGGTGTAACAGTCACCTGCGGTTTCCTTTTACGTCGATTATGCATCTAAACTGGCGTAATCTCACCGATTAAATCGCTAGTATGCAGCAGTATCATCATCTGATGCCCCATTGGAATGACAGCTATCATCACTACATGAGTGTTTTTTGACTAGTAACATTTCGGCAGCTTCCCGAATTAGGGCCGACAAAAGCTTACGGCAAGAGTCACATAACCAGGGAGAAGCTGGTTTACTGGAACGCTTGTACACATTTGGTGTCAATCCGGTACAAACTTTAGGGAACCAACATCCACACGCATTACGTTGCCTACCTTTGTCGACTGGGAATTCGCAGCTGGGCCGACCGCAAACATGATTATTACTAACCATGTTATTCACAATTCAGTTAAAGTTCCCACTAGAACGGTATTCAAACTAAAGTAATCAATCGAAATTAAGACAGAAACATTTGAGTTGCGGTAAAACAATAAAAGCGATAACACAAAAACCAACCTTAAGCCTCAAAATGATAAGACTTCAAACGATGACTGAATTGCTTCAAGTCAAGGTTTATAAGAAAGCCTTTGATGTGGATTACGCAACAAAAGCCAAAAATGTCGAAAGTGTGGAAAAATTAACTTCCTGTTTTCACGTCAGTACGTCTCACACTAGTCGCAAAGAATAGTGTAGAAGCTGTTCTACTCAGTATAGGTCAACATATTGAATCATTACCGAGGTTAGATACATGCATTATCGAGGAAATGCCAGTATGTACAGCGACCTCGGGAAATTGACGTGAAGCGATCCATTGCGTACGTTCAGGATCATGATTCGCGTCATTTTGAAGGAGAAACTTCAGGGTAGTTGGTTATTCCATCGGTAACGGCATGAATTGCAAACTTTGTTGTGACGTACACTTGCGACTACCATTTAACCTACGTTTTAAATCAGAGAATACTGAAAATGGAAATCAGTAAGTAATAAAATACTACGAAACCATCCACAACATTATTTGTACGAATACGGTGTCTAGTGTAAGAAACTTGTATGCTGAAGTCAAATAGATATAGAAGATAGGATACGTAAATAAATAAATTCTGATGAAACCACACAGACTGGCCTCGTGAGAAGAGTCTATTCCTTGGTAGATATGTTGGGCAAATGACAGTTGTGAAAGATGAAGATACATTCTTCTGAACTTGGGTGGCAAGCTGAGTGTTTGGATATGGGTTTCCTTTCACCGAACTCCGAATTGTCACTTAAGGACTCACGCGTTGATGCCTCCTCCAACTAAGAAGTGAAGTGGTTGAGGGCGTTGACCATTTCATTTGAGAAACAGTATTTTCTGTAGAGGATCAGCGACCGACGAAATCTTTACCGAGACACAAAAGCTTCGCCTATCTATTTTCTTCTCTAGCCACTCATATTGCTGAAGTAATATTTGATCATCTATGAAGGTGTTAGTTTGGTGCACAGTTTGATCTGTTCTATTACATGGCTGTAAATGTGGGCATTAAAGTTTTGACATCTGCTACCCTACCTTCGTGTCGTGGGCTGTGTTGTGGCTCCACATCTGTAATTTAGAAGTCAGGTGTGGAGACTTAAGCAGAGGAGAAAAAAAGTCAGTTGGTGGTTTCGGAAACTTCATCGGTTAACGTTGCTGCGACATGTGCTGCACACGCCCAGTCACTGTCTGCCTCGTCATGCAAAACTGGATGAGGAATAAAAAGACTGCAAAAAGGTTGAAGGCAGCGAGACCAGAACATTGCATTAGTGCATGGAGTTTCTGGAACGCTTGTTCCCTCGAGTCCCTACCGTACCAGAAAGGTCTGTTGGATAGTGGCTAGACAAAAAGAACTTACTCTTAACATGTTCTTAGACAAAGAGATGATGCATTATAGTGGCTTGGATCAATCGTCTGTGTTTGATGATGACCCAAAGCCACAGGACGTATGTCCGACCGCATCTTTCATAATACAGACCAATTTTCGTAGCATCAAAAAAGCCCTACGTGACCGGTCTCAAACAGATGTCACCTGGGCCCTGTGGTCACACACACTAAGTCTTCTTTTTCAGGGACCTCAAGCAGACAGCCTCCCACAGTCTGGGCAGCCGGGAAGTGTCAACCACCTTCATAACTGTCAGCGCTCACATCCCCTCAGACCACTTCCCACCTCTCTCATCTTTACCTTCTGATCTTCATTCACATCTCTCAGTTAACAATCCCTGGGCGTTTGTGGTCCACGGGACAAGAAAAGCCAGTGGGTGGAGACTCTGGGTGATATGGCTCAGAACCGATGTCATTGGCGCAGATGTATGTACACATTATCCTCATCTTAACTATTATACTTAATCTCATCATTTTCTCATAACTCCTCTTCCAGTACTCTCACTTCTTATGACCGATTTTTCTTTCTTCCATCTTCCATGTTACTCCATTGTCACTTGATGTGCTGATATGAGATGTGACAACTTTACGCAACGTTACGCAGTAATACCTGGTTGTATGTTAATCTTGATGACGATGGTGACTGGTGACTGGTAACTGGATTTTACAGTTATGCGAAAACTAAATTTCCGCAGTACATGCGTCGTATGTTTCCAGCTGAACATACTGGAAAAGTAAAATCTGGTTTCTGAAGGCCATCAAGCACATTGCTTACAAACTGCCTCATAATGTCCATTAGATTCAAAGTCATCTTGGTCATGTAGAGAGAATAGTCTTGCAGATTTCACCTACATGAAGCTCTTCAAACTTTGTTTCGTAAATAGATAACTCCAAGACTCTACTTTTATGAGGTTGTGCAATTAAGAGTGGAAATAAAAGGAAACTGTCGAGAATCCAGTGGCCTCATCTGATATAGGGAGAATTTGTGGAATCCAAAGCATCTTTTGGATGAGCTGAAAGAAATACACTTGTCTGAGAACATGCCTCAAACTAGGAGGGGGGGCTCTTTAGGTAAATTCAGTTTTGGATAGTCAGCAGGGATGCAATTCCATGGAATCAAAACAGTTCATCCATATATCTTTACTTTCTCAGCAAACAAGTAATGAAGCAAACTGTAAACAGCTTGCCTTTTAAGTGTCTGTGCAGGGAGTGGGAGTGTATTGTAATCCTTCAACTCACTGATGACTTCACAGTGGTTACTCAGTAACCAAGCCGGCTGTTTATGGCTACGTAGGACAAGCTTTTGTCGAAAACAAACTGCATCCGGTCAAAGCTACTACTTCCTCAGATGGTGGTCGTATTGAATTAGACCTTACGAAATAACCTAGTATCACGTAACGAATGCACACTAACCAACCAGCGATAAAGACCGTAGCCGACTCTCTGAGAGTGGTTACAAAAGACAAGTGGATCTCAGTAGCAGTAGCAGCAGCAGCTTCAGAATCAATGAATGTACCCGAATGTTTAACTGAAGGTTCCAAGCACACTGAACACCAGAAGCAATTTAAACATAGACTGTCAAAAGTATGCTCAATAATCACGAGTGGTGTGCTGTGCTGTGCAGTAAAGGCTAAAGACGTGGAAAAGGCAGTGGTGATAGATAACAGTAGACAACTGTTGATAACTCAAAGGAACCAGACCAGAAAATCAATGATTGATGAATCTATAGCAGAAAAAAATGGGTCTAAGATTCACTCTCAGGGGAGACGACTGAAATAATGAGCGGAACGCTTCGAGGGACAAGTCAACTGGCCTCCAGCCACTAACCTGTTTCTCGCCATCTAGTTAGATCCTGAATGGGATAATCTCGAGACAGGACCTCCAACACTTGTAGAAGTTGGGAAAGCGGTAGACAACCTGAAACAAGCAGGGGCAGCAGTGTCGCACAGACTATTACTGGACGGATTTAACGACAGTCATAGGTTATTGATCGAAGTGACTGAAATGTTAACTAGTGTATGGCAGTCAGATACGATCCCCACTGACTGGTACTAGTGTCAATCACTGATTGTCCCAGTATTGAAGAAAGGCGAGAAGTCCTCTTGTCATAACCACAGAGGAATCAACCTGACGACTATGATGTTCAAGATTCCAGCTTCTATAGTCATTAGACATTCGAGTGGAGATCGACAATGCCAAACATGAGAGGACTAGACAGGCTTCAGACCCGTCCATTGGTATGTCAACCAGTTATTCACCCTCCACCACTTCCTGGGACTCAGGCACACTTAAAGACACCTGACTGACACGACACTAGCTATATTTTTCCGCCTGAAGACGACATTCCACTCTTCCGATCGAGAAGTCTCGTGGCAGTCTCTCTCACTGAGAAGTGCTGAGGAAGTACATCACTGTTGGCGAGTGAATCTATATTCGAATACTCGTCGGCATGTCATAGCTTATGGTGAGTTGCGTACGTTGAGTGGTGTCCGTCAAGGATGTCCACTTTGTTCATTCATATTCAACTCAATCATACAGTTTCTTATGAAGTTCCACCTCATAATCTAATCTAACTTCACTGAGATTGATCTAATCACAGGGGAATCCTTGGTTGATCTAGAATACGCAGATGACATAGTCCTGTTAAGTAAAAACGATGACAAGATGCAGAGTCTACCGGACACATTGAGTGGCAATTTGAGTATGCTTGGGATGCGTTTCTCACCACCTAAATGCAAATTGTTACTCCGAGACTGGTCTCTGGTGGTGGTGCCCTGGCTAACAAGAGAGAGTGAAGTGGTCGAGTGAGCTTAACACTTCACTTACCTAGGAAGTCGGGTCAGCCCTGGTGGGTCAGTGACTAATGAAATCTGTGCATGGATGCGGAAAGGTCTTAGTTGGCTTTTGCCAACTTACTCCATCTGTGTCGCCACCATATTATCCAACCGGATATGAAGAGTCGAGTGTAAAGTGCTGGATCTCGCTGTGTTCTGCTATACGGGTGTGATACATGGCCGTTATTGCAGAAGGTAGATGACATGGGAAGGCTTCATGTATATGATCACTGTCACCTTTGTAGCGTAGGTGGTGTGTTACCGTGTCACGAAGTCAATAATGTTTTTTCTTATAAGTGGTATTCGCAGTATTCCGATAAAAACAGAATCTATTTATTGAAAAACCGAACAGTGCGCACTTATCTGGGTTACCTTTTGTGTGCCTGTGAAGTGGGTAACCAGTGTCTCTGTGACACTTGGTATCAAAAACAGTTGTTCTAGATCAGCAGCTGTTTGTGGTTCATGATTTCCTTGTTGGGATCTAAGACTTCATGAGACTCGACCCTATCAAATAAGCTTCAGAATCAGAATTAGCGACATACATGTAGTTTTTTTGTCTCCTGTTGTTGAACAGTAACAAGTGGGAAAAGCTTCAATTACCGAATCTCTCTATTGATCGTTTGTCCTCTAGTATTCCGTGGTGCATTTCTTGGCACTCAGTGCACCAAGGTTTTATTTTGGATGAAATAAAAGGTAAAGATGCATGACTATACTACCCTTCAGAAGTATAAAATTTTATTTAAGCCTTGGGATACGTTGCTTTCCACCGTCAGATAATTATTAGTTTCGACGAAATATGCCTGGAGCAATATTCATTCTGTCTGTGTGATGTAATTACTTAGTATATTTATGTACAACTATAGCTTTATGAATAGTCAACTACAGTGTAACTGGATTTATGTACCTTGGAAAAAACTAATTTGAAGTTCTTCTTTTAGCTAATTTGAAATGTTGTCAGACAAGGAAGTGTTCTCTTTTCCACTTACTGTAAGTTTTGATAGTAATTCATCTGTCGTTCAGATCCTCGATGGTCCTGATGGGGAGCAGAATTTTGAAATGGCTCGTGCTAATATATGGCAGTCTCCCTGTTGCAAATCCAGCTACAATTTCGATAGGTTAGTCTCAGAGCTAACCCCACATGATCATCCAGAGTTAACCTTAGAAATGATCCATATGGTTTCCTATGTTAAGAAAGGTTAGGATAATATTATTTTATTTTTATTACAATCAGTCGCTCCACCGGAAGCTTTGAGCATGTTTCCATCTCCATTTCACAGCGCTGAATCGTGGATCAGAGACAGATGGCGCTTTCGAAAGGTATTCTTGATTCGTGACGCGTTTATGTTCAGGAGGATTCGGTTAATGTTACTTTTGGCTTACAATCCACTACATCACCTAAAAGAGGCTTAAAGTTAGTTTTCATTTGATTGTTTATATTTTATGTAATGTATTGCTTTGTGTCGACAGTTTTTATATGAATGAACTCTAAGCGACTGTTATTTCGTATCATAAATATATTAAACTGGGCTGTAACATAATGTTTTTTAATATGTTAGTGCCCGATTGCTGAGACTGAAGAAAATGAAATGGGTTAAGAAGGATAGATATAACATTGGGTTGAGTACTTTGGTAAGCCCTTTACTCTGTTTTCAACAACGCTTCTTCGCTTTACGATGTAACCAGGGTGCAAGAAAGTGTATATCAGGCGTCTCTGTAATCCCCAATAGAAATTCCAATGCACTCAGCTACCTTGTGCCTACTCGTACAGCAGGCAATGAGCCACATATATTGTGAGGGCTAGTGATACTACCTGGCTGCCTAAACCTTCGTTGGTGGGGTGGGACTCAAACCCGTGACCCAGTGGTTGGTGGCCATCTCCCTAAAACACCACCCCAGCAATGGTAAATATTGGCTAGGTTACTGTAAAATATAAGACAGACTCGAACAAAATTTAGGCATAAATATGGTACATTTATTTTGCATTTCAAATGTATATTGCTTTTGGCACAATCAAAGTACCTGCATATTCATCCAAGGGAAGGTATACTAATTGGTGACAGCAAGACATTGCTGTTGTCGATGAAGCACAAATGGTTTTGTTTTCAAAGAAATGATGTGATGAAGCGATCATTTGAACGTGGTCGAGGTTAGGTGTGGAGTTTTGGATACCTTACACAAATGACTTGCGTAGCGTGAGCAGTCTTGAAGTATCAACCGTTGGCACACTTACACCCGGATCCAAGACTCGACTAACCATGACTTAACTTCCTTACATTTGTCTCCTCCCTTGCCTTTACTTCCAGATACCAGTATTGAGTTTCTTACAACCTCCTAAGCCTCTCATCCCGTAAGCACTGCTAAGGATTCAAGTTAGCTGAACACAATTCTACTCACTTAGGACAGCGCTGCCAATTCCATATTGAAGCGCTAAACGTCCAATACCTATTTGGAAGTGTACAACATGCCTCACTTGCCACACTCGAATCTAGGGCTGTGCATGGGTGTGTGGTGTGTTTCTGAGGACATACAGTCATGACTCAGATGTGGTTATTGATCTGATCCCATTCAGTGAATTAGCGAAGCTGTTACTCAGTGGTTTAGGGAGATGATCTATCAACCATTGGGTCACGGGTTCGAACTTGAGCTCCACTTACCATGGTTTAGACACCCAGGTAGTATCACTAGCCATCGTACACTAGGTGTGGCTCGTTATCTTCAGCATGGACGTGCACGAAGTGGCCTTTTTTATTCGATCAATGTGGTGAATCTGCGAAATTCACTATGCAGAATGTCCACAAACTCGATGGTTAGGTCCCATGGTCTTGGTGATATTGGCATAGAATCGAGTTGTAGAACAAGTGTGAACTGGATACCAACTGTGTGGTGTTCAAGTGAACAGATTTTTAAGAACTGGAGATCATGACACTTTGATCCTTATTCGTAATGTTCGTCTACAGGTCGGATGACACAATTGATGAATTGTTGCGAAAACTATTAACTTTGTCTTTTAAAACAAAACGTTCAGAGATGGTAATTTTAGCAGATGATCTGAATGCTCAAGTAGGGAAGTTAACTCAACGTAAAATGCATTGTGGAAGTACCTACAAGTATCTACTTGTGGACGAACCGACTACGGTGAGGTTTTCACAATTTAGTTGTAACAATCTCTTGTTTCTGACCAGTGCTAACTTCAAGTATGAGGAGAGAAATTGTCACGCTTGGGATCCAAGCCAACAATAGACGCAGACAGATCACATAAATGTGAGTCATCGTTGGGGAAGGCTGGTAGAGTATTACCATTTTTGGTGGAGTATCTGCTTAGACTCCTATCATGTGTTAGTGTGGGTACTTGTGTGTTTGCAACTAAATGGATTCAGGAAACAATGTATGGTGAAGTATGTGTGTTTTTTTGGTTGGTGGATGAGGTGCGGTGTGTATTTAGTAAGGAGATAGGTAGTTGTTTTTCTGCGAATGATTGTGATTCTTTTTCTGATGACGCGCAACCTAATATTGAATCTGCTTTAGAAACAGCAGTAAAAATAGTGGATAGGTTATATCCATAAGCTGGGGAAAGTCAGTGGGTTTTTTCAATCCCACCGGAAGTGATTGATGCATGAAAATTTATCCCGGCTGTGTGTGATAACGCTGAATATCTGAAGGAAATTGAACATGAACTGACTGAGAGTTCACAATGCTGCTTATAAGCAGTGATTTGTGTCGAAAGCAAAAGATATAGAGGCATCAGCATTAAGCAGTATTAGGAGATTAATCAAACTTATTAGATAAACTAATAAGAAAGCAAATAAAGTGATGGTTAGTAAGACCACTAAAATTAGTGGGTACTTGGTTACCTCTGATGACAAGGAGATAGATAGCCTGGAAGAATACTGAGGAACAGTTAAGTTGGCCTTGAGCTACATTTCATGTGTTCAAAATATGGCCTGAGTTTGAATGGGATGTAGCTATTGGTCTTCGAAGTCTCCTCATAGTTGTAAAGGCTGTTTCAAAGGTGAAACAACGCAAAGTATCACACATGATAGTTTGTCACAGGTACTTTTTATGAAATGTGCATCAAGTGAGTGGTTGTTTGAGTTGAATAATCAATGCTAAGTTTCTGCACTAAACAATGAACTATATTTGTCACATGATTGGTAAAACTATTTAGTCTAGCAAATCTCAGTGGGTAAAACAGGCTTTAAACATAAAACTGACTCACAGCGAACTCCAGGTGTATATGTAAACTGAAGGAAGTTCAGGTTGGTGACGGGGTCTTGATCATACTGAAGCTCTTGTTCATGTCATTAATAATATAACAAGAATAATTAGACAGTAAAGCCTGCAAATTATTCAGCAGAGAATGTAAATAACTTAGAGTAGAAATCTGGCTATCACATTCTATAGGGAGTTCTGATTTGGCAGTTGAAAGATAACTGTGAGCTAATGGATGTATACCTTCATTTTGCTCTCTCTGACCACAAGGAAAAAATCTGTAGTTGTTAATCAAAAAGTTTGCCGTCTACAGTAGCCTAATCATGGCCCAAAATATAAAATATGTTAGAAACCTCACTATAGGGTACAGAAAGTTATAATTCCTTCCACTCTTTTTAACCACTGAAGAGAGAATATCCGTTATGCATACAAACATTAGAATACCAAGCTGATTATTTGGAGCACAGATCACATAGTTTTCGAACTTCATTATTAAGTCTATCATAAAAAAAAGAAGTTGATATGCTGTTTCAATAACTATTACCTTATTCAAACAATTTTTAAGTAGAAGTAAGCTTATTTCTATTACTATTACTTATATGATATTTGTTATCTATTCAGAAGTGTTGAGCCTACTACAATTTCTTCAAGTCGAGTCCCTAATAATGAGGAAGTAAAAGACGAAAAGTCGATAAAAGTAGAACAGGATTCTTTCATCAAAAAAGATATGGAACCGGTGACTATCAAAGTCAATCGTACACTTCCTGGTTTCCAAACTATTTTGCAGTGTGGAAAAACATTTGATGATGATACCATATTTGATAAAAGTGTAAGTAATTATGTATGTCTTTCAATAGCTGTGGATATCTACCATATTTTAGATTATTCTTCTAAAATATTTATTTCTGTTCAGTTTTTATGTTTGTAATTAATTCTGCATGAACTGTTGAGATTTATCTAGAGAAGATGATGTGACTGGAAAACCCCTTTCATGTCCACTTACTTGATTGAGTCTTTAATTGGTGTGTGCAGACAAAAAGGTTTGTACGGGTTAATGTGTTGCAGATTTATGGATCATGCTGAAAATGCCGATCTCCTATTACAGGCTTTTTAAACAGCGTATATCTTTCCCAATATGATGTCCGTACAAGGTATTCAGATAATGAACGAGAATATCTGCGAAACATTCGATGGGTATGCTCCCACAGATAGGCATTTATAAGTCATAAAGCAGTGTAAATTTATATGAACATTAGGCTCTTGTGTTTTTACTGATGCATTGTTGGTTATGTGTTGCGTAAATTTAAATGACTGCTGGGTATACCGTTTCTAGTAGGTTAAATCTGATTTGTAAGCAGCAATAAGCTTTTGTTTGTAGGAGGGAATTGAGGATAATATTTGTTACTCACTACTAGTTTAGGCACTCATACTCCATCTATCCAGGTTTGAGCCGTCAGGTAATGAGTTGGAATCACTGCTTAAGGCATAAATATACCCTCAGTTGTTGTGGGTAGCTAGAGAAGAGTGGCAAACGTGGTCAGCTGAAATCGAAGGCTTTAGGTTAGGTACTTTTGCGTAGAGATTAGGTCTGCCTTGGTATTCGTAAGGATGATATGCTAAACACACTGGGATTATATTAAAATGTATCCTTACAATGATGCAATCAGACTCGGTGCTCAACTTCCAGGATATTCGTAACAATGGGGGTCTGGATTATGGTAATTTACTTGGTTGTGGCTAGCAGAGGAATCCAGGACTCGCATTTCTTCCGTTTTTGGACTCATCAGCTGGATGCACGTTCACCCCAGTGAGTGATGTTGTTCCCACTGAGATTCGAACGCTCATCGTGGATTCCTGTGCTAGCCAAAAACAAGTAAATTACTATAATTAACATCCAGGCAATATCGGGGCATCCGCATGGGAGCCCATATCCCAATAGATGTCAAACAATTCGATTCAATAAAACAACGGAGAATCCTAAACATATGAATAAATAGTAACATAATCTAGATGTTTATAATCTGCATGCATCTACCGGGTCACTAGAATGTTTGTACTTCATCTAACATACATTCGTTATGAGAGAAGCAGCCGAGATGTCCTCCTGTTTCACAACTTCTATTGTCCGTTTTTATATACTTCCATTTTCTCATACGTTTGTACTCTTCATCTGCTTATTTGTCCACTAATCATTATATTGCTTGTGTTACATTAACTTTAGGATTGTTTGACCTTCAACAGCCCACTTGATACGACTGGACGAATTAAACGTATATTCGATAAGTCACAATCTAATTTCGGGAATACAGAATTAGGCCTTAAGTAAGTCTTTAATTTTGTTGCTTTTGTTAACAATTTGTTGTGTTCGTCTGTTGATTAAAATAACTGGGATATGCATTACTTCGGTTAAACAATCACCTACTTCAAACGGACTTCGTACGATATTCTTATTGTTTCTGTCCTACCAGTTTTGAAAAGGCTAGTAACTGTAGACCATTTTACTTACCACAAAAATCGGAAGGTAGTCAGCTTTTGTCTTGGATCAGAAAACAGTTTTTGTTTATGCAATAATGCATCTGCAGTAGACTGCACTATTGGCTCCTGTTGAAGAATGTTATCTCCCGAAAGGTATGTCCAGACTCATTCAGTAATAAAGTATTTACAGGTATTATATCGTTTAGAAATGTTTAAAGTCTGCAGAGAATTTTCGATTTGACTGAACAAACTTGCATTTCTAATGGCTTGTTGGCCTGCAGCGTCATTGTCGAAACCTGTTGGAGGAAGAAAGTGTGTTCAGTTTCTCCTTTGTTCGAATTGTTTTGATTAATTGATACCTGAATCAGTGAATCGAAACGCTCCTACGGTATCAGTTTTTCTGTCTATTCATTGAGTTCACAGTTGCGTATCACGTTAGTCTTGCTTCGGATTATTTTAGTTCTGCTAATGTATAGCAAGAAACTTGTTTCTGTAAAACCGTTGAATCACATCTGACCAAGTTTCAGTAACACATTTGTTGTAAACTTTTGTTGCTCATACTGAGCCAGTTAAACCCACTTCACTTATCTTCCAGTAGTAAGGTTTTATTTCATCTCTATTGAGCGAACTACTTATTTGATCAATGGGACTATTTCGCTGTTTTAAGGCAATACTGATTTGTATAAAAGAGTAGGTATAATTTGTGTGAGTATTCCGGTTGAAATGGCTCACGATTTGACCTCATTGAGTATCATGTTTTGAGGACGATCGTTGTATTATTGCGTAGATATTTTATCCCATAGTTTCTATCTAAAGATAAACGTTTCATCTCAGGATCTTATAAGTACTATTTGTACATTGATCTTTTCATAGAATGAATATTGACTAACGGTGAATAAGCTAAGTTAATCTCTATTATGTATTTGAACAGATCACTGAGAAATTGATGATTATAGTAGTGTCATATGATTATGACTTAAATACACCTCGTTTTCTGAATACAGCCGCATTGGCTTATGTTTTTGCCATACATGTGAGTTACTGAGTAAACTCAACGCAATACAAGTCTTCATTTTCATTCCATTAGATATACAGTTAGTGCATTTTTTTTCTCGACTCAAGTTTCATGTCGAAAACACCCGAAAACTTATAAAATACATGAAAGACTGAAGAGAGTGTTGAATTAGCTGACAATTGAATATTCTGAAAGCTTTCCATGCAATGTTAATAATATATTATTTACTTGTACTAATTATTTCACCTTTTTATTGATAGAAATGATGCTCAATTAAATAAAGTAAGTTGATTTAATTTATTAATTGTAATTAAAATTTTATTCAAGAATGAATTCATTTCAAATTTATCATTTAAACATGCTTATTCCCTTATCCGAATGAAAATGAATCATTTACTGAGCATTCACAACATAAATATGTTAGCCTAAATTGTAATGACGAAATTAGCTGTAGGTTTTTCTGTGTGAGATGAACTATTCCACAGTTGTTATAAATACTAAACGTGTATAGTTAATCACTCGATACTTTTTACTGTTATTACTAAGAAAGCCTATGCTGAAGTATCCCAGTCTTGTTATATGCTGTAAAATGAGTAGCCAGATAGACAAATATCATATGATCTACTGTAACTTTACACGGAATACTTAAAGAAAGAAACCGATAGCGATAATGCTAATCAACTACAGATGGCGAGGATGATAATAATGATGCTTGTTTGTAAAGTACTACCAAACGAAAGGAGAGGATGTAGTTCCATAATGATATAGTACACAGTGAGACAGTATTATCTACTTGATGACATTTGGAGCACACATTCATTCCAAAGAACCTCGCCTGGTTAACTAGTTCACTAGTTACTAGCCGGTCCTAAGCCCGGGTAAACAGGGAAAATTGGGCATAGGGCTAGCAACCCCACCCCGTAAAAAAAATCTAACCGCTAAAGAAACTTCAAAGCACAAACAAAATATACAAAATAATAACAAAATTATTCCTCGCTGGAATTAGAGCGGCCAAATGACGCCGGTCGGTGAAAGCCTGCCTGCAGGAAGCCAAATGGCCGATGTGTCTTCTCTCTCTAGATGAAAGCTAAAGTAAACGTGGGGACATGGAATGTCCACACCATGTTTGGACCTAGCAAGGCAGCCCAGATTGCAAAGGAGATGAAGAGGTATCACATTGAAGTGTTAGGAATTTGTGAAAGCAGATGGAATGGAAGTGGACTCTCCAAACTGTCAACTGGAGAGGAGTCAATAATCTACTCCGATATTCTCAGCCAGACGACAACCATAAGCGCACTGAGTTTTGGAGTGGCTATCACGATGTCCCCAAGAGCATCGAAGGCTCTCATGCAGTGGGAACCAATCTCCTCCACTCTCAGTATCGTGACACCAAGATGGATTCAACTCAAAAGGAGGGAAGGAAGGTCACAATCATACAATGCTACTCCACGCACCTACAAATAATGCAGATGAAGAGAAGGAGGAGGAATTCTACAGCCAACTGCAATCAGCACTGGACAAGACCCCACCACAGTTGGCGACATCAAAATCCATTCTAATGGGCGACATGAATGCCAAAGTGGGAGTGGACAACACAGGAAGATAACTAACCATGGGTTGAGAAGCGCTCGGTGAGGTGATGAACGAGAATGGAGAATTGTTTGCAGAATTCTGTGCATTCAACCATTTGGTGATTGGAGTCAGGTAGTGTGTTCAAGCACAAGGATATCCACAAAGCGAGCGACATGGATTTCACCAGACACCAGGACACACTAAAAATCAGATCGACTTCATTCAATCTCAAGAAAATGGAGACGCAGTCTACTTGACACAAGGTGAAGAAGAGGAGCAGATATAGGTTCAGATCACTCACTATCTAGTGCAAGGAACCTGCCTTCCAAATCAAGTTGAAAGCCTTCAAGGAAGTTGGTGATAGACCCCAGTTCAAGTACAACACTCAGAACAAAAGCTGAAGGACGATACTACAAAGGAAATCTTCACATCAGCCAGCCATCAAGACAAAGTGGGAGTTATCAAGGAACATCCCTGAAGAAACCTGTGTGGAAGAACACTGGAAGCCTTTGAAAGAGATGTGGAAAGAAACCTGCACAGCCGTATTAGGAAGGAAGAAGAAAGAAGATAAGGAATGGATCTCGACGGATACCTGGAAGCTGATAGAGGAAAGGAGGATGGTGAAACAGAAGATAAACCAGTGCAAGGATGCTCAACGACAAGAGGAACTGAGTACAATGTATAAAACACTGGACAAAGAAGTAAAGAAGAGTGCACGCAAAGACAAAAGACACTTCTACGAAACACTGGCAAGTGAAGCAGAACAGGCTACAGGTAGGAGAGATAGAGACCTGACAACATTGTATCAAATAACTAGGTTACTATCTGGGAAGAGATCAACGCAGACGAAACCAATAAAAGATGATGACGGAAATTAAATTACGAAAGAAGAGAAAAAAAGAAAACAATTGGCCGACCACTTCAAGAAGCTCTTGAATCGACCACCACCACCACCACCACCTGCACTTCGTCCAGAAATACCACCTACAGCCCAGCCGCTGAACTACAAGTGAACATAAATCCTCCAACAAGTGTGGAAGTCCTGAGTGCCATAAAGCTACTGAAATGTGGGAAAGTAGCAGGACCAGATGGGATCCCGGCCAGAAGCACTGAAAACAGATGCAGAGACAACAGCGACATGCTTACACCACTATTGCAGCAGGTGTGGAAGGAAAGGAAGGTACCTGGCCATTGATTGGAAGAAGGGTTACCTTGTCAAACTGCCGAAGAAAGGAGACCTCAGTGTTTGCAAGAACTGGCGTGGAATCACGCTCCTGTCCACCCAGAGCAAGCAAAATATTAAGCCGCATCATCCTGGAGAGGCTAAAGGATGAACTGGATTCAAAGCTACGACCGGAACAGGTTGGCTGGCTGGATTCAGGAAGTACAAATCATGTGCGGACCAAATTGCAACGCTACACTACGCATCGTGATAGAACAGAGTATAGAATGGCTGTCCAGTCAACTCTCTACCTCAACTTTATCGACTTTGAGAGGGCTTTTGACAGCGTCGACCGAGAGGTAATTTGGAAACTGCTTCAATACTACGGAATACCACAAACCTTTATCAGCCTCATTCAACAGCAGCTATATGAAGACACCACATGCCATGTAATTCACAATGGGAAGCTCAGTGATGCTTTTGAAGTGAAGACAGGAGTGAACCAAGGTTGCCTACTACCCCCATGACATTCCTGATTGTGGTCTAGTGGACTGGATCATGCAGCAGACAACAGTGGGGAGCAAGAAGAGGGGGATACGCCGGCTGGACTGCGGAAAAGAACCTAGAAGATCTGGATTTCGCCGACGACTTGTGCCTGATGTCAAACAAACTTGAAGACCTACAGGTGAAAACTAACAAGTTGACAGAAGAGGCAGGGCAGCGAAAACGAGACTTCAAGTGAATATAGAGAAGACAGAAGTGATGAAGATACCGCACCAACAACTCCAACAACAACAAACTCCAATCACCATCAACGGGAGAAACTTAAAGGAAGTAACCTCCTTCACCCACTCTCCTAGGAAGCACTGTTTCAACTACAGGTGGGACAGACGAGGACGTCAGAGTCAGGATCGGGAAGACAGCAAGGCAGGAGTTCATTAGCCTGAAACCAGTGTGAAGGTGTTCTGCACTCAGCATGCGGAACAAGATCCGGATTTTCAACACCAGTCAAGTCAGTGCTTCTGTATGGTTTAGAGACTTGGCGCGTTACGAAAGGGATTTACAATAAACTATAGACATTTATCAACAACTGTCCCGTGCTCTGGCTCTTTACTGAAGATCAGATGGATTGCCAGAAAGAATAAGCAACAAGGAGCTCTGGGAACGAACCAACCAACGAAATATGCTTGGGAAGGAAGTGGAGATGGATTGGATTAGGCATACACTGAAAAGGCCGACTGGGGACATCACGCGTCAGGCCAGTCGCTCGAGTGGAACCCAGCTGGGAAGCGACGAGTTTGGCGTCGGTGCCGAGGGTGACATGGAGGAGATAGTGCGAGGAGGAAATGAGAGGTTGTGGGCTGCGTGGAGCCAGGTTGAAAGAATTTCAGAGAACAGAGTGGAGTGGAGACGTGCTACTGAGGCCCTATATTCCATTAGGAACCCAAGGGACTAATAATAATAAATAATAATAATTCATTCCAAAGTGGTGACACAACTTTGGACAGCTAATTTTTAGAGTCCTACTATCCCGTATTCTTTATTTTTTATGACAGTAGTAGTGGTAGTTGTACCACATCTTTGTTCATCGAATTAACATCCTCCACATGTAATAGGAGAATGATGCAACATGTATACCGATGTGAACAATTTTACTCGCAGTATAAACAAGGTATATAAGGTGATAGGACTATAGAAATCAGCTGTCGAGATTTGTTTGATTACCTCGATTTGATTATGTGAGTGATAATTTATGGTCTAAATATCATCAAATAAATGATACTGTATCATTGTGTTCTATATCAATTCGGCAAATGGAACGTAGAAAATGGAGAAGAAGTGAAGGAATAATGATGTAATAATACTTTTCAAAATTAGTGTAGATACCATTTTCGATACATCTGCTCCAGTGCAATCGACTGTGTTGTCACTTGAGGTCCCCGATTGATATCTTCTACCTTATCGTCTTTTTTAGCTTGCATATCAAAATGACCCAACGAACTACACCGATTGAAACGCTTGGTGTTTGAGGTCGTACGATAGTACAAAAACGTTTTGGGTAGTTGTAATACAAAGAACAATTACCATTATAGTTTAAATAAAGCTGCATTGTGATATAGTTGCGGGCCCGAAGTAATGCTAATGGCTGTGTGTATGACAACTATAAGGTATTTCCCAGGGTTGATCAGCAATATATGAGGATGCTGTCTTGGCTATCAGAAAGTTAGTCTTGGAGTTATCTATTTACGAAACAAAGTTTGAAGAGCTTCATGTCGGTGAAACCTGCAAGATTATTCTCTCTACATGACCAAGATGACTTTGAATCTAATGGACATTATGAGGCAGTTTGTAAGCAATGTGCTTGATGGCCTTCAGAAACCAGATTTTACTTTTCCAGTATGTTCAGCTGGAAACATACGACGCATGTACTGCGGAAATTTAGTTTTCGCATAACTGTAAAATCCAGTTACCAGTCACTATCGTCATCAAGATTAACATACAACCAGGTATTACTGCGTAACGTTGCGTAAAGTTGTCACATCTCATATCAGCACATCAAGTGACAATGGAGTAACATGGAAGATGGAAGAAAGAAAAATCGGTCATAAGAAGTGAGAGTACTGGAAGAGGAGTTATGAGAAAATGATGAGATTAAGTATAATAGTTAAGATGAGGATAATGTGTACATACATCTGCGCCAATGACATCGGTTCTGAGCCATATCACCTAGAGTCTCCACCCACTGGCTTTTCTTGTCCCGTGGACCACAAACGCCCAGGGATTGTTAACTGAGAGATGTGAATGAAGATCAGAAGGTAAAGATGAGAGAGGTGGGAAGTGGTCTGAGGGGATGTGAGCGCTGACAGTTATGAAGGTGGTTGACACTTCCCGGCTGCCCAGACTGTGGGAGGCTGTCTGCTTGAGGTCCCTGAAAAAGAAGACTTAGTGTGTGACCACAGAGCCCAGGGGACATCTGCTTGAGACCGGTCACGTAGGGCTTTTTTGATGCTACGAAAATTGGTCTGTATTATGAAAGATGCGGTCGGACATACGTCCTGTGGCTTTGGGTCATCATCAAACACAGACGATTGATCCAAGCCACTATAATGCATCATCTCTTTGTCTAAGAACATGTTAAGAGTAAGTTCTTTTTGTCTAGCCACTATCCAACAGACCTTTCTGGTACGGTAGGGACTCGAGGGAACAAGCGTTCCAGAAACTCCATGCACTAATGCAATGTTCTGGTCTCGCTGCCTTCAACCTTTTTGCAGTCTTTTTATTCCTCATCCAGTTTTGCATGACGAGGCAGACAGTGACTGGGCGTGTGCAGCACATGTCGCAGCAACGTTAACCGATGAAGTTTCCGAAACCACCAACTGACCTTTTTTCTTCTCTGCTTAAGTCTCCACACCTGACTTCTAAATTACAGATGTGGAGCCACAACACAGCCCACGACACGAAGGTAGGGTAGCAGATGTCAAAACTTTAATGCCCACATTTACAGCCATGTAATAGAACAGATCAAACTGTGCACCAAACTAACACCTTCATAGACGGTCAAATATTACTTCAGCAATATGAGTGGCTAGAGAAGAAAATAGATAGGCGAAGCTTTTGTATCCCGGTAAAGATTTCGTCGGTCGTTGATCCTCCACCGAAAATACTGTTTCTCAAATGAAATGGTCAACGCCCTCAACCACTTCACTTCTTAGTTGAAACGTCATTTGAAGACTCTTCGCAGCTGCATGTGATAGCGCTGAAGATCTGGGGCAGTTTAATATGGATTGACAAACAGTCTTCGCAATGACTGCTGTAGGCAGTGATTTGTCTCAAAATCGCGGGAAATATTGCATCCATCGAAAGACAGTTCCATGACCTCTTGACCAGTGGAGTTTAGTGGTCCTTTAGGTCTGAAATATAGCTAGTATTCAGATGCGTCACGTCGATTCAGACTAACATAGCTTGCAGTAGTCGTTTACAATGATTAGACATAGCGAATTCTTCTAGATAGTGGCTGAACAACTGTCTTCAGAAATTGCAATCCTATAAGGATAAATGCATTACTTAGCGTCTGGTGGTCGTTTGATGTTCATCTCAGTTGAAGATACTTTGCGTGATGAGAATCTGCCTTTAAGAACCTTTAAACGTTTTCATCACTTCTATTTTATGTAGTACTTTTTATGACTATAACCGTACACGTTTCACAGGTGAGGTGGCTAAAGTACGCGGTTGAAGTCACATATGCCTAGATGAAATGAGTTTACATGAAATATCAATTCGTATCTTATTTATTCGTATCTACTGTAATTCATACTTTTCCACTTTTTAAGCTATCAATTATACTCCAGTTATTTTTTGTTTTAGGATCCCACTGAAGTGTCGTATATATGCCCCCCTTTGTCACCCATAAGTACCTTGAATTCTCATGACGGTACCCTACATTATTCTCGTGATTCACCTCCATATGTGGTGTCTTCATATAAGAATCGTACTCATGGTTCGTTTGGAAAGGAAAATAGTGTACCAAAAATTACGAAAGCACATTATTGTCAAGATATTGCAAGCAACCAGAAAAACGTAAGGAGTTGATATGTTTAAATATTTACAACGCTGACGTTTGTGTAGTTCATGTATTTACTTGTCCTATATAGTTCAAAAATTCACTGTTAGTAGAATTAACGTGTTTACTGGAAGTCACCGTTGCTTGTTTAACAGTTTTGCATGCGCATGGTTGGTTTGCTTGCAATTTTCAGTTGACTTCCGTAGGTTCATGCCAAAAGTATGCTTGTGAATTCATACATTCTTTGTCTCCGACAGGCTTTATTCATAAAATCAAACTATCTGTGTCACCACATTAAGTACACAGTTCATCTGTGGTCATAATAGCTGCTGACATCAAAGTTTAATTGGAAAAATATCTTAGAGGTATCTGTGGTATTCTATGCCAACGAACCGGCCATAACGTTTTGTTTGTGTCTTGACGGTTTGGCCAATTCTCTGAACCTAACCTCGATTTGGGTTATGATCAACGGACTAAACTAATGGAAATCCCTAACATAAAGATCAAGGGTGTAGATGTGATTTGTGTTGCACATCTGTTTGTTAAACTTTGTGGGTTGCGAATGGGCAATGTATGACCGGACTTGTTTGGGCGTTTAGACTTGTATATTTCCACTTGATGAATTATTTCTGCTGGATATGACTGTTGACTTGGTAGCCTGTTTTAAGGTTCATTAATTATCGGCATTTGGATGTGACTTTACAAATTGATATTAGATTTGTTTAGTTGATAGTAAATGATAAGAGAATCAATTTCTCAAGACACAGACAAACATTAAGTGTTTAAGATGTTCATCAGTTACTATTTTCAACTGAAAATCTTCACATTCGCAATTAATTCGGGTTGGCAAAAAAGGAAATATAATCCTTGTTTATATTTTTAGTTAGCTTAAAACATTTACACCTTTTATGAAAGTCAGTAATGGATTTACTAAATATATCCTTAAGGTTATTGCAGTTTCATTGAAAACTTAATCTCTCACATGTTTAGGGAGGATAAAATTACAATAATGTTCATATTCTACAGTTCTCAATTTACGCAACAGGAGTCTTATTCGAGTAGCATTATCAAAGTTTGTCAAACCAACTTTAAATACCATTCTGTAACTGATGAAATTAGTTTTCAAATGTGATACCTTTCTCTAGTTCATAGTGAAATTCAGTGATTGACTTTCGAATGTCAATCGAATAAATATTCGGTATGTTTGAGTCATTTAAAGAAGTTGATGATACAAGACGTAGTAGAGATTCAAATTTTTGATTTTACTGTGACCGAAGACTTCTTTTAACTGTTCATTTGAAAAAGACATTTTTTCCTAATATGAAAATCCACTGCCACTATTATTTTCCTGAGTTGACAACGTCACCACTGTTACATCTTTGTCTTGATAGTATGTTTGATGTTCAGGTTTTTACCTCGGTTTGGGTTTCCTTTTCGCTCCTATGATTAACAGACCGGACTGAAGCAAATACCCAACCCTTGTCCTAACTGCTGTTATCCCTCGAACTATTGTATGGGAGTTGATCCTGCGGTCACTAACGTCACACCAGCTGACTCAGAGAGAAGATGAAAGTTAAACGGCTAAACCACAGAATGCACAATTGTTTGTATTTAGCAAAATAGATAGAAAGTGTACAATCCTTTTAGCGTTGGCACCCTAATCAGAATGTAGCTGAGTGAGAACAAGAACCAATGCATAGATGACATTCATAATTGATTGGTTGTATCTCTCATTGTCTTCGGCATTTCCCATTCTGAGTCACTTTCATGGCTGTAGTAAATCGGATGCATACTACTTCAGGGCTGACACTTCTGCTGTATACCTATGAAACACCACCTCTCCAAGAAGTGGATGATCGACAACTTCACATTTCCTATCACCATATTCTATGATAAACTAATAGCATATCTGCTAGAAACAGTGTGAGCTATTTTCAGGTCAGGTGACTCCCTTTTCGAGTGTTGTAGGAATCGTCGCTGATTGAGTTGATTCATTTGTAAGCGTTAGCTTCAGTGGTTTGGATATACTTTACGATCGTCATCCTCGTGATCCACATACGATTCATCGTTTGTCAGCCTTGGAACTGGTTGAAATAAGCGTATAAGTGTTGGGTGTCTTGTGTTTCATTACGCGATGAAGGATAGTTATGTGGGGGTAGGAACCACTAGTACAGCGTAACTTTCTGTTAAGATTCGATGGTTAACGTGTCTGTTTTACTAGCTTAGGACAACAGAAGATGTGGTTCATAAATGAAGTAAATGGCAATCATAATATAGTTTTGTTTTTTCTCCTACGTTCGAAGAATTAGTGCAATGAGTTCATACTTCTTTGTATGTTTGGAAGCGTTTCTGTAGTAAGTCGTCCATTTAATTTCTTTTTGTTATTTACTCTGTTCTTCGCCACTTTTAGATCTTCATAATTTTGTTATATGGTTTTGTTTAGCTGATTTCTTGTTCTAGATGAAATGAGATATTAACTCGGAGTGGCTTTTTCACCCTTATCGAACCTTTTAAATTTCATTGTCATTTAATGTTATCATCGATTTGTTCAAATTAGCTTCAAAGAGGATTAGTGTAACCTTGTAGATTTTGACTGTGTGGTTGCACCATGCCCAGGCAAAGAAACTATAAACATTTTAGCGGAGCCGACTACTGTATAGTGTAAGTTTTATCCAACTGCTGATTTCGTTCCCTGAAATAAACTACAAGATTCTTTGTTTATATATTGATCATGGATAATCGGTTCTTCTTGTAGATCTGTTAGATTTACTCACTTACCAGTGTGTTAATTGTTTAACTTTTTTTTTCTAGATGAATTCAGAAAAAAAGAATGTGGACCAGTCAAAATCAAATATACTGAACATATTTTATGATCCTTTAGGATTAGAAACAACCAATTGGCATGATGGTCAACCGAGAATGAATAACAAGGAGAAATTGACTAGTATTACACAAAGTTGTCACTCTCACGACTATAAGCCAACTTCAGTTAAATCTACAGAGGCTGCGTTGACCGATGTTGGTGAAAAAGTGAATGTGTGTATGGATGACACATTTTTATTGGAATTTGTAGAGAGAAACTTGACAAATGTTGAGTCAAACTATAATTTTGGTTTTGCTGAGCCAATTGGTATGAATTCGCCAACAGCCTTTGTACAGGATATGCTTGAGAAAGTTCAGAAAACGATAAACCACCATCAGCATAAACAATGACGAAATTTCAGATTAATTTAGTATTTGAGTTTATTTGTATCATAATATTTTCAATAAATGACCGTTTTGCATTCAAGTTTTTTAAAATTTCGTTTGTTATGTGGTTGCCGATTGTCTGTTCAGTTGTTGGCTATTGTTTCGTCATCTTATTGTTGACATTTCAAATGTGCTAATTATGTGTGATCCTTATCCTTGTTTACGGCTCGTTATTTTGCGGGGTAGTTTTACAAGTTTTGCTATTATTATTATTATTATTATTATCATTATTATTGTCATTATAATTATTTGTCCCTTAGGTTCCTAGTGGAACACAGGGCTTCAGTAGGACCGCTCCATTGCACTCCGTTCTGTGCAGTATTTTGAAGGAATTGCCGTCTTCTCTACCTCCCCAAATTCTGCCAACTTGTTAGTTTTCGCCTGTAGATCTTCGAGTTTGTGCGACAAGACATTGAGCACAAATCTTCATCGGTGAGATCGAAATCTTCTTGTGGGATCTTCCCATCGGTCCAGCGAGCGTATGGCCCTGTTGTCTCTCGTCACAGTTCGTTGCATGATGGAGTCCAGTTGACTACAATGAGGAAGATGATGGATGATAGTAGGCGGCAGCCTTGTCTTCCTCCTGTCCTATGTCTTCACTTGAAAGGTGTCAGTGAGGTTTGTATTGTGAATCACTTTGGATATGGCATCTTGATATAGCTGTTGAGTGAGACTGATAAAGGTTTGTGGTACTGAAACGGTAGTGTTGAAGCAGCAGCTGCCAGATTAGTTGTGGGTCGACGCTGTGGAAGGCGTTTTGAGAATGGATGAAGTTGAGTTGAGGTAGAGAGTTGACTGGCATTGTATGCTGTGTTGTGTGATGATGATGCGTAGTGTAGCGTTGCACTATGATCTACACATGATTTATTGTTGGTGAAGCCAGCTAGGCAGCCAGCCTGTTCCGGTTGTAATTTTGAATGCAGAGGACCGTTTTGTCTGTCGAGGATGATGTGGCTTTATATTTTGTTTGGTGTGGACGTGAGTGTGATTCCGCTGTAGTTGTTGCAAAGATTTAGATCTGGGTTGTTTGGGAGTTTGACAAGGTAGCCTTTGTTAGAATGATCCGGCAGGTACGTTTGCTTCCTTCCTTTTAAATCTTGTTGAGTAGTGATGTAAGCATGTCTGCTGTTGTCTGTGTGTCTGTTTTGAGTGTTTTTGATGGAATTCCATGTGGTGCTGATGTTTGTTCGGATTTCAAGAACATGAAGATGTCTTTTGTAGTTTCGTCCTTCAGTTTCCGAGCGTTGAACTTGAACTGTGGTCTATCACCAGTTTCTCTGAGGGCTTTCAACTTCATTATGAAGGTAAATTCTTGCACTAGATCATGAATGGTGTGAACCTACATCTGTTCCTCTTCTTCATCTGATCTTGTGTCCAATAGGTTGGCTGCGTCTCCACTTTGTCCACATTGAGATGAAGTGGATCAGATTTTTAGGGTGTGCTGGTGTCTGTTGAAATCCATGTTGCTTTTTGAATATCTTTGTGCTTGTATACAATGCCTCCAATCACCAAATGGTTGAATGCACAGAAGTCTGCAGAGAGTTCTCCATCCTCGTTCACTTCACCGAGTACTTCTCGACCCATGATGGATGTGTTCTCTTCCTATGTTGTCTGCTCCTAATTTGCATTCATGTCATTCCAACCATTAGAATGGATTCTGATGTTGCGAACTGTGGTGTGGTCTTGTCGATTACTGATTGCAGTTGTCTGTAGAATTCCTCCTTCTTCTCTTCATCTGCATTATTTATAGATGGGTGGCGTAGCAGTGAATGATTGTGACCTTCCTTCCTTTTGAGTTGAATCCATCTTGCTGTGGTGACCCTGGAGGAGGAGTTTGGTTCTCTCTGCATAAGAGAGAGCCTTCTATGCTGTTGGGAGGGGGGGGGGACATCATGATAGCCACTTGGAAACTCAGTGTGCTCGTGGTTGTCGTCTGGGTGACAGCATGGGAGTAGATTATTGACTTTCCAGTTGACACTTTGGAGAGTCCACTTCTATTCCACCTGCTTTCACAGATTCCTAGCCTGGTACTTCTATGCTATACCTTCTGATTTCTTTTGGAATCTGGACAGCCTTGCTAGGTTCATACATGTTGCGGACATTCGATGTCCCTATGCTTACTTTCGCTTTCACCGAGAGAGAGAGAGAAGACACATCAGCCAGTTGGCCTCTTGATGGCTTTCATTAACCGTCGTCATTTCGTCTTTCCGATTCTAGCGAGGAATTCGTTGATTTTTATTTTTTATATTTTGTTTGTGCTTTGAAGTTTGTTTAGCGATTGGATTGGTTTTGCAGAGTAGGGTTGCTATCCGTATGCCCAACCTTCCCTGTTTATTCGGGCTTAGGACCTACTATTGGCTGATGAACTAGTTAACCAGGCGAGGTTACGATTTTTGCCACCGTTTTACTCAAGGAAAATTTCTTGACAACAATGGATATCAAGAGATGCATCAAGTGAATTAGTACCGTTTAATTTTAGCAGACAACATAGAAAGTAACATTTAAGGAAGGATAACTTGTTTGTGCAGAGCAGAGGAGAAAATAAGAGGCTAGTACGCGATCATTGCGAATGATGTGTGTTGGTGTTCAAGCGTTTGATGGCTGGGATTTGAATTTGTGTGCTGTGAGATGCAGAAACATTTGTCGCCAGTGCAATTACCCCTCATTGCATGATGGTATGTTGTTGAGAGAGAGAGAAAGTGGGCATCTCTTCATTGCATACCTCATACTAGTGTAGTCATCAGATGCAAGGGATTTCAGTCGCGCGAAATACAGTGAGAGTTTATGCGCTGTTAAAGAGTGAAATTCGCGTCTTACACGCGTAAAAAGTAAAATTTCAATTTAATTTTAAAAATTCCCAGTTACCATCGGGACAAGGTATGTCTACAGACAATATTGTTTTCGATTAGTTTTCTTCAGGTTCCAGTCCGTTATGCCTAACCTTAATCATTTATGAAACACCGCCAAATCAAATTATGTTGATTTTCGAATCTGTAATGACTGGTTAGTGAAATCTGCAGTTAGTGGATGTCACGATGCTAACGGTAATAGTCACCAGTGGCATTAGTAGTGAGAATAAAGATAACAGCATGATAATCCAGACATTCGATAAACCAAAGTAAGTCAAAAATTGAAGGCAATAAAAGTTGTGCAATACTGAAGAAGGAAGTGACTGGTTAGTTTATATGTATGTAAATAGTAAAATGGTGCTTAGAAAATAGACTTTTGGTTGAGATAACCGTTTAAAGTTTTTTCTCTGGTCAAGGCGGAGGTAAACGTTGTATTGACTTCCTTCTCAATATGGAGATAGACTGGAGTTATTTTTTTCTGATTTTCATCAATTCAGCTATATGCAAAGGATAAGTGAAAACCACTTTTTGAGGTTTTTTTTCATTGAAATGCTATAAGCTAGTTTGAACGCTTTGAACTTGTTCATTTTCTCCCCACTATCAAATATACTCTAGCTTCTTATGTATCAAGTCATCTGAACACATCCCGCTGACTTGTTTTTATTACAAGATATTTGACCATGCTTCTGATGTAGCGAATATGAATATGGAGCTAAGGAAATGAATGTACTAATCCGTAGCTGTAATATTTGTGTACACATTTCTACTCAGATATATTTGACTTCCAATCCTACAAGGTAGAAAAGTGGTTTATTAGGGTCCTAGAATAAAAAGATCTATTTATTTAGTCGAAGTAGGTGAATGGCAACTTTCAGCAATATGGTCCAGTTTGGATCTCAATGGTTCAGATACGTGCACATTATCTTTATTGTAATCGTTATATCGAGTTCCTGTATTATTTCTCTCATTCTCTTTTGATTATTTCCTTGCCTATCTATCTATCTGTGCCTTGTAGTTTGATGTTAAATTTAGGAACTGGGACCGTTACGCAGTAATTAACAGGCCTCATGTTGATTCCAACTGACTAAATTTAATCCGGCAAAGTTGTTTCTATAGTTTGCTATGAGTCATACTGATTGTGTTATAGCTTATGAGATACCAACAGGTTTTGGACCCCAGGACAGGACTCAATGATCGAAAGCCAAGTAATTATGAGCCGGTGGGTCGAATGGTTGTTCGTGTTTCACTTTTTATGAGTAAATATATTTCTTTTTACTATAGAGAAAAAATGTTTCGTGTTAACCTCATATTCTTAACTGAGTAGTCTTACTATCTTACACTATACTCTATCACAATGCCCAAGTTTTTCTCTTACCACCATCATTATTTACCTTGTATCCTCGACACTGTTAATAGTTGATATGTATGTTATAAATCATTTATGGTTTATTTGTATTCTGTCCGTTCTACAGATTTACGACAAATTGAATAAGATCTAGTCAAATGGACAAAATTTGGCATTCTCCTGAAGGTAATACGTTATGTTTTTCAATTTATTACTTTAGATCATGATACTAAGAATTGTATTCGAAGTAATGAAGAAATTTTGGCTGAATTAAGAAGAGAAAATTTTCGTTTAAGGTTGATGTTGTACAATTATGAGCAAGTGTATCATCGATCCAATAATTCAGATGATCCAGAATCTCCAGTAAGTGTTCACATGAAACAATTATTTATATTTATATAATATTTTATATTGTCTTCTTTTTTATTAGCGTATTTATGCTGCTGAGTGTGAAAATGTAATCTTAAGAAAGTTGATTGATGAGAAACAGTTATTGTTGAAGGAAGCTTCGTGAGTCATTTTTTTTTGTGATCTTATATTCCTTTGATATTTAACAGAAAAATAATTGATACTTTAAAAAAGGAAAATAGTCGTTTAGAAGGAATAATCAATGATATTCAGAATAAGAATGAAAAAGCTGAAATTGGTTTGTTTTTATATACAATTTATGGATTAGAATAGACTGGCGAAATAAATATGATGACCTTTATAGTGAATTACAACAGTCTCGAGAAGAAATACAATCTCGAGATATGAAAATATTGTCCAAAGATGCTGAACTTAATAGAAAGCGGAATGATCTCGAAAGGTATGTCTTTTATGATTTTTTGTTAAAGTTATTCTAAAAGTACTTTCTGTCGTAACCGCAATTTATTATACACCCGCGCCTGATGGTTATTATATGGTTTGATTAGAGGACGGACTGCTGAATGTGTTGTAAAAGGTGTATCTAGGTAGTTTGTATTTCGGTAGCTGCTACCTTGACGTAGTCGTCAGGCTTGCATATCACAATGACCCAACGAGCTATGCTGGTGGAACGCTTGTTCCCTCGAGGTCCTACCATACCAGAAAGGTTTGTTAGATAGTGGTTAGACGACAAGCAGTTACCGTTGTGGTGTAAATCACTACACCATGATGGGGGTCTGATGGTGAAGTCGTACTGCTGCTAGCTGGATGGAGTGTGACAGCAGTAAGGTATTTCCCTTGATGACCGGCATTGCCATGCTGATGCTGCCTTCTCAGTGGAACGGGGTGGGTGGTTAGAAAAGGTCGGCCTCAAAGATAACACACTCCACCATACCCCACGGTCTGTTGAGCCAGCGGTGTTGGTTCATTTGTCGTTTCTTTTCGACCATCTGGCCTCAAACAATACAAAAGTTCAAAATAATCATACTCCCAAGGCTACGTGTGACAGGCCTCAAGCAAATGTCCGATGGGCTCTGCGGTCACACAGATCTCTTTCAGGCACCTTAAGAAGAAATAGCCTTCCACGGTGTGGGCAGCTGGGAAGTGTCAACCGCCCTCACAACTTTGTCAGCACTCAAGTTTCCTCAGACTGCTATCCATCTCCCCCATCATTACCAATTAAGTACGAGAATTGTTTTGATGGTAATATGTTCTCTGAATTGAATGGTTTGACCCGGAAGCCTTCATTATCATTCTTAATAAGAAATACAAAAAAAAAATTTTGGTCAAAGTTAACTTCGCAGGACAATCAATCGAAGTATATGCGAAGACAATGACTAGGTTTTAGCAGAAACAACCGATCACACCCTAGGTCATCAGGACAAGCTTCTGAGCTATTTGTGGAGCAAATCTTATTCGCTCACTTCTTTGTGGAGTTTGTAGTGATGATGTTGTCTAGAATGATGAGAAAAGCTTCTCATGAACACAGTACAATGGAAATCCTCCTTCTGAGCTACAAATATTCTCCATCATCTCAAAGGGAGTTGTTTCCCATAATTGTTTTTTTACTAAAAATCCCTTCCAGCTTATTCATCGATAATCGGATTATATGGCAGTTGTAACACAGGAGAGATTTACTAAACAACGTTAAATATGAATTCAGTGACAAATTTACGACCGAAAGCTGCATGAACGTACAGTTTTGGATATGATTTTTCTTATGAAAGAGTACTCTGTTTCTGCAGGCTAGTTCGATCCACGTTCATTGTATACTTTTGAAATCATGTCAGTTAGAGAACTTAATTATCTGTTCTGCTTCCACTTTAATATCTCTTTATCAATTCGGTGTTTAAACTTCTATCAGATGTACTTCTTTGTTGATTTATAGATTTTTCTACAAAATTATATCCTTGAATGTCATTTCTGACTATCCGAGATAGCCGTGGTTTGACAGACTAGTATTTTAATTGGGTCATGATTAAAGGTAAAATGAAAATTTGAACTACAGCCGGATTCAAACCAGCAACCATCGGTTTTCTGGTCCGATGCTCTACTAGCTGAGCTACAGGGTCTGGTGGTTGCTGACTCGAATCCGATCGCAGTCTAAATTTTCATTTCACCTTCAATCATCACCCAGTAACAATATCCTTGAATGCTCGAAGTATATGGTTTGTGAAGAAATTACGGGTTGTTTGACTTATTATCTACATTATGTGCACTAGATTTGCACAGATGTGCACAGATTTACTTTGGTTATTCACCTTATTCTAATTGCTTAATGGTTTAACTTCTCACAACTTTTGTCTAAATATTACGTAACTGGTTTCTTTCCTATATACATACTTGATGTTATATTAGGTTTAAGGAAAAGTTGTATACTTGAGAAGCAAAGTTCTCGTTTGAACTCTTCTACAAGACATGAAAGAACTGAGACACTGTTCGTTTCTTTCGTCTATTCTCTTGTGTGCATTAACTGGTTGTACTTTCACCTGCACCTTATTGAATGTTTTGTGTGTGTATCACATATCTTGTGTTTCTTTTGAATTCTAAGTCTTGATATGATTATCTATGCTAAAGATGATCTAAGTTCATGGTAAACTGCAACAGGTTATTCATTTACTTTTCATATTCATATTATTGAATGCTAGTTTTATTTTATCATCTGTTTAAAGCTATATATCGGAGCTACAAAACCGTTTAGAAATTAGCGAATCATTGAATTGCCAATATAAACGAGAAATTCGGTTGTTTCAAACTGAAGCAGATAGTTTACGTACTACATTGGAAAATGTAAATCAAGAACAATCATCCTTTAAGATCACAGACTTAGCTACTGATCCAATTAGATCTATTGATATTCATGATTTATGCAAAGTAAGTTTACTGTATATTTAATAGTACGCTTTATTTAAAAGTAATGTCCATTATAATCTACTTTTTAGATAGTTAGGCATATACGGATTATAGTAGTCTATGTCCAAGGTTTTCTGTCAATCAGTTGCACAACAATATGAATCCTGTTAACTCAAGGATCACATTACAGAATAAATCAAAGATGTAACAGGAAAGAATGTTTCCTTTTCCACAATTATTATTTCACTTAATGAAGCTGTACAATCATATTGGAAATAAATGATAGACTATTGTCAATCAATAGGGACACATGAGTACTGTAATTCTTAAGAGAGTAGAATAAAAAGTTTCCAAGGACAGAAGGAAATTGTTAATTTAGTCATAGTGAGGCTACTGAGTACACGTAATGCTATTGAATACAAAGATTAGATTGTGAATTGCTAGCAATACAGCAGCAGCTGTGTGTAAATGATACAGTCGAACAAATTTAGTCACCACTTAGAATTAGACAATTTGAAGTTAATTGGTTACTCTTCAATGACTAATCAGTGTATCTATACCAAGGGTCTATCCGTAAAGTTTGTTAACAATTTAAATATTCCTACTGAATCATAAAAGAATAAAGATTTCAGTGGATAAATCTGATTTCTCCAATATAATCCTCTTCAGGTGTACAGTCGCTTTCAAACCTGATTAGTGTAAATATTTTTATTGGTAAAATATGTTCATATTAGTCAATCAGTAATTGATAGTAAATTGTGAATCAGGAGAGAGTAGTATAGGTATGGGAATCACTTAATCAACATGAAAATATTTGACAACTTGAGTAAATGTGAGCGGAAAACAACCATTGAAGAATTCAAAGTGAGTAGACAGTTGTTATTCAGGAAGGGAATGAGAAATTGCTACCTAAGCTATTGAAAAAATGTTTGCGTAATAATAACATGATAATTATCAAGGTTATCTAGGCTTATGAATTAGAAGGTTTGAACATTAAGGAGTAAATGATGACAGAGAATGGTTTGTTCTTTGTTCGTATTGCTAGAGCCCCAGCAAAGCGAAGTAAACGTCTTGTCATACCTATTAGAAGAATACGTTGTATTTCGTAGATCATGAGTCCTTGAGATAGGTGGTGGCTCGGCGTGCGCAGTACATTCCCAAGCCATCTCCATCGACTAAGGTTCACAACCTCATCAATCGAATTGTCTTGCCTAGTTCCCTTCACCTGACTTCAACATCCTCACATGATGATTCCACCGAAAGCGAGCAATGCTACGAAGACATATGTGATGAAAACCCTATAATGTCATCATGTCTTCTACTTTTAACGGCCATTTCTCACAGGTTCATAACAGGATAAGACGAACTGCAGAGCACTATACTCGTCCTCTGATAGATAGTTGGATGTCTCGCCAGTCGGTGCCACAGATGACGCAAGTTGGCGAATGCCAAACGAACCTTCTGTATCCAAGCTGAGATTTCGTCACCAAACAGTCCATTCGGGTCGATACAGTTCCCCAAGTAAGTGAAGTGGTTGACATATTCCACCACTTCACTCTCTGTCATTAAGCTGGGAGTACTTGAAGCACTCCAGTCCTGGAGCACAATCTAATATTTTACAGGTGCGCAACGTGTGCCAAACACTCAGTTTTCCACTCAACGTGTCGAGAAGACCTTTCATTTCGTTATCATTGTCGCGTAACAGGACAGCTTCGTCTGCGTACTTCCAGTCAACCACGCGACCTCCAAGGATAGATTAATCCCTATGAAGTCAGGCGTACGTACCTAGGGTCATGACTGTTAGTTCTTCTATTATTTATCTCTCCCTTGGGTTCCTAGTGGAACACAGGGCTTCAGTAGGACCGCTCCATTGCACTCCGTTCTGTGCAGTATTTTGAAGGAATTGCCGTCTTCGCTACCTCCCCAATTTCTGCCAACTTGTTAGTTTTCGCCTGTAGATCTTCGAGTTTGTGCGACAAGACATGGATGGAATCGAAATCTTCTTGTGGGATCTTCCCATCGGTCCAGCGAGCGTATGGCCCTGTTGTCTCTCGTCACAGTTCGTTGCATGATTGAGTCCAGTTGACTACAATGAGGAAGATGATGGATGATAGTAGGCGGCAGCCTTGTCTTCCTCCTGTCCTATGTCTTCACTTGAAAGGTGTCAGTGAGGTTTGTATTGTGAATCACTTTGGATGTGGCATCTTGATAAAGCTGTTGAGTGAGACTGATAAAGGTTTGTGGTACTGAAACGTAGTGTTGAAGCAGCAGCTGCCAGATTAGTTGTGGGTCGACGCTGTGGAAGGCGTTTTGAGAATGGATGAAGTTGAGTTGAGGTAGAGAGTTGACTGGCATTGTATGCTGTGTTGTGTGATGATGATGCGTAGTGTAGCGTTGCACTATGATCTACACATGATTTATTGTTGGTGAAGCCAGCTAGGCAGCCAGCCTGTTCCGGTTGTAATTTTGAATGCAGAGGACCGTTTTGTCTGTCGAGGATGATGTGGCTTTATATTTTGTTTGGTGTGGACGTGAGTGTGATTCCGCTGTAGTTGTTGCAAAGATTTAGATCTGGGTTGTTTGGGAGTTTGACAAGGTAGCCTTTGTTAGAATGATCCGGCAGGTACGTTTGCTTCCTTCCTTTTAAATCTTGTTGAGTAGTGATGTTAGCATGTCTGCTGTTGTCTGTGTGTCTGTTTTGAGTGTTTTTGATGGAATTCCATGTGGTGCTGCTGTTTGTTCGGATTTCAAGAACTTAGTGGGGTTGAGGACTTCTCTTTTTGTCGAAGGGCTTGTGTTCACTGGTAATTTTGTGGCTTGGGTGTGTTGGGCTGGTGGTGGTATTTGTGTACGAGTTGCAGGGGTTGGTGGTGGGTGAAGGGGTGATCGATTCGAGAGTTTTTTGAAGTGGTCAGTCCATTCTTTCTTTTTTTCTTCTTTTTGGTAGCGATTAGGGCTTTTATGACGAAGTTAAATAGGGACGATGACTGTGGCCATCCTATTTGTCGCTAATTCAAATTTAAACTCTCCATAAGCCCTGACATGGCTGTGTGATTTCGAGTCCAGCGTTTTATGAGCATTATATGCTCTACTGGTACTCCTTTCTGACTTAAACGCTGTTATGACACCTTAAGGTCAACTGAAATAGAGTACCGCCTTCAGGTCGGGAAATATGGCAAGTGTCAACCTCCAGCCGGTTGGTATACCTGTGTTCTATAGCCTGTCGAAGGTTGAGAATGTGATCGATTCACCCTCGTCTAGTTCTGAAACTTGCCTGGTATTGTCGATTCCGCTGTTCTTGATCTCGAGTTAGGCATCGAATAACTATTGAACTTGTGATTTCGGAAACAACATTGTTCAAACCAATCCCTCTGTGGTTGTCATAGACTGTTATACCCTCTTATACACTGAGATGATCAGTGAAGTAGACCAGTCTGATGGTACTACCTCTGATTCTTATACACTGCCTAGTACTTCCGTCACTTTAAATAGCAATTTTCTACCTCCATTCTCTGAAAACTTTGGGTAGCAGACTATCAGATCCTGCTGCTCCGCATCCGTTCAGGTTTGAAGCAGACTTTTCAGCTTCAAGGAAAGCTGGAGTACCAACATCTACGTCCTGTACATGTTCAGACTGAATGTTGAGCAACTGAAGCTTTGCTGAGGACCATTTGAACTGCACTGGAAAGTGTTTCGCCAACGTTTTAGCCGTCCGTTTTGTAAGGTTATCAGCATCCCATTCTTTTCGGTTATGGTTTCACTTACCATCGGCTTTTGCTGTTACCCCTAGGTAGTTGCTGAGTACTACCTACCGCTGATGTTTTCTGTCTCTCGTTTCCGTCACCCATGACTGCTAGCGGTCGAAGCGAAGACTTAGTCAACTTATAGTTGAGTTGTTTTTGCTCTTCATTGCATTGAGAGCCAGCTGGAATCGGTCTCCTCATATCAATTAGTTCGAACGCCGTTGCTGAAATCCAATGACGTTTCACAATTTATCTACCAATCGAGCATAGACAGACCTCACTGCCTCCTCTCTTCTGCGGCTAGTATAGTGCAGGCATACATGAACCCGTTTTAGCGTGTGATTGGAGGACGAACACGTACCCCAGACACAGCTACAATACTTAACCGATTCTCTCTAAAGATGGCTCATAGCTTATGATCGTCTGTGTCTATCCTGTTGGTAGACGCTGTGTGAGACAGGTTCTCTCCTTATACTTAAAGTTAGCGCTGGCTGCTAGAAACAAGTGATTTTCGGGACAAAATTACAACATAATCATCGTTATCGGTTCTTCGACATGGGATTCTGCCCTACAGCTCAATGCTATCTCCAAACCAGGGAGTCCACGGCAGCCGGCACTGGGTATCGGGATACTCGCAAGGTGGATTTTGAAGACTTACTACTATGACCAGTTTAAGTCAATTTAATAACCACACTCGGATCCTGTATATGTGTATCCCAAATGCACTATACACCCACGGCTCTAGATTCCAGAGTTTTAGCAAGCGATGCTTGCTGTCGAATTCGGTATATGTTTGATTGGGTCTTGTGTGCTACCCGGAAGCGTACGAGCGGTGGACATTTCCCAACTGTCTACTCCTTGGAAGGCTGGTTCTTCTTGAGATGCTGAAAAGGCAGGGATAGTGTGTGACCGCAAAGCACAAGGGAGAAGCCTATCACGCTTGACCTTTTGTAGGATGTTGTTTTGAAGTTTAGTTGTTGTGAGGCCGGCTGGAGAAGACCTTTACTACAAACACGGGAAAACCTTGAGGTAGACGAAGTGTGTTATTTTTGTGGCTGATCTTTTCTAACAGCCCATCTCAAAGAGATGGAAGCATCAGCGTGACACTGCTAGTCACCTGAGGGAAACAACTAGGTGTCACCTTGAGGGAGATGATTTCCGCTTTAAGATTCGAAACACATCACTCTATGCTGCAGTCTGCGAAGTGGCAATTGAGCTACTTGTGTTGTGATCTACCTGAATTAGATACATTGATTAGTCACTGGTGACCAATCAACCTCCATCAAAGTGCACGACGATGATGAGCTTACTAGTTTGGTCGCCACAACGCAAAGTGAACGGTAGAATTTGGCCAGCACTCTGAACTAAACAACATGAAATTGGTTCGCTTTCCAGTCAAGAATCTATATATTTCAACTGTTCTACAGTCTTCTTTTGTTTCCTGTACGAATTTTTGAGAAGTAGTGAGAAGTTTCTGTTATGTGGTCATATGGTACTTTAGCAACACTTGGTGGCATTCTGGACCTTCTATTTCCAATTTTGCAATGCTGTCCTTGACCAATTTTGTTTTTTGGCTTTTCAAAGAGTTATTGAAAATAGTTTTAACGCGATTATTGATCATAAATTGTTACTCAAATTCTTAGTAAATAATGCCGAGTCACCATATGCTATGTAACATAACCATATCCAGTGTGAAATTACAATTAACTTGAATGCTTACGTTGTTGCATTACATGCATGAAGACAGTTTTATTTTTAACTTTTTTTCTTCCAGGAACACTTCAATGAATTATCTAACATGATACATGTTCTGTCAAAACAGATTACGGATGTTGGTTTGAAACCTGAAGTCTCATTTTCTAATGTGTCTGAGAATTTGGCGAAAGTCATCCAGCTTCTCATGGTCCTAGTGATTCAGTTATAAGGGATCTTAGTCATATGATGACAGAACTTCCCAACTTACATAACAATGAAGCGACTTCTGACTTAACTGACCGCTTACACTCTGCCCGTCTGCTAATTTTAGAATTAGTCAACGAAAAGTTACGACTGGACAAATTATTAGCTACCATTAGTTCGTCACATGAAGTAAGTCGTTTTTTTTAATTATGAGATTAATTAGCGTAGTTGCAGCATAGATTTTACGTAAATGTGTTGTTAGGGTAGCTATTGGAGATACTATATTCTTCAATGTTTTTGACACATTTGGATTAGGAATTGAAGGTACCATCGAAATCGGGTCAGATTCGTAATCAGAGGCTTTCATGCTGAAGCTTTTTGTGAATTTCCTTGCAATAAATTCAGGATTAAAACGATCGAGGGATTCTCCAACAATAAACCAAACGCCCTCACTACGCGTAAAGCCTAAAACAGGATTTGTCTGAAATACGGTTCTGTATTCATAAATAGTGGTGAGCAATAAATTGCAAACTTCGAATCTTGATGTATCGATTGGTTTATCGTTATCAAAGAACCTTGCAGAGAGGTGAGTAAACAGTACCAACAAGCAAGGCTACATTCAAAGCGAGCCAGATGGGGATATCAAAGACATGTTTATCTTCCCACAATGGGGCGAAGGAACAAATTTTAATGGTAAACATCAGGGAGCAACGAAAGGGATCCCAACAGCATCATGAACTGGAAAAGTACCAGTACTCAGGGATGTTAGATGATGAACAGGATACGATTTGAGGGGATGGATAATTGAGGTTTTTGATGAATACTACTCAATAATATTAAGTAGTATAAAACTGAGGCTTTAAAAAACGTGAGAGTAATTAACACTTTTGTTGTTGCTTTTTCTATCATCGAAACATGAAATACAAGTAATGAATCTCTTTATCAGCGAACCTTGCAAGGCTACTTCTCTGACTATTATATAACTTCCTTTTTTTGTCTGAATAAATCTGTGCTATGACCGTGTACAGCACATCTTTTTGATGGCTGTATTGCACCAGATTAATGTTGTAAATAATGGAACTGAGTCACATACTTATGGTGTCTAAGTAGTAAGATAAAATATGAAAGTTTAGACATTAATTAAATATTATACTATGAAACAACCCTTGTGCGAATTATTAGACCTCTCAGTATTTTGGAATTCTTAGTTTCAACACCGTCTTGTATGCTGAGACTGCTCTCCTACTGACTGACTTATTTTTGATGTAACAGTTATCCCAACTATGATCCATGCCTATTTTGGATCTGGATCATGGTAATTTACTTGGTTGTGGCTAGCAGTGGAATCCAGGATGTGCATTTCATCCTATTTGGGACTCGTCAGTTGGATGTACCTACACCCCAATGAATGATGTTGTTCCCACTGACATTTTTGAACCCACGTCCTGGATTCTTCTGCTAGCTAAAACGAAGTAAATTTTTATTTTCAGGTAATATCGGGGTACCTGCATAGATGCCCACATGCCAATAGAGGTCAAACAGTTCGATCCTGCTTTTGTCGTTTGTTGGGTCTTATACTTCTTCTTCTGCTTGTCATCCTTCCGCTTTGCTGCAATTTTCGGCGGTTTTTTTTAAGTTGGGGGTACTTAAATGATTAAGTCAGAAGTTCCATCGTAAGTTAGCATCGTAACATTTGTGATTGCTCACTGGAAAGTAACCAATTTCTTGTTGTGTATTTGTTAGTGCTGACTGAGTACTCTCGATCATTTTGTAATTTGATAGGTAGGCTAAGGTCAGCACCCAAGACTAGACAACATGAAAGTGGTTAGTTTACATAGCCCAGGCAGTGTATCTAATGCAATTGTACAAGAGATCAATCACAACTGGAATAGTTCTGTGGAAATGTCGCTAACCACCACACTGGGTAACGCCAGTTCGAATATCTTAGAGGACAGCTGTTCTCTCTAGGTCACAGATGTGCCTTACTAATGACTGCTACAAGATGTGAAACCTAGATCTAGGGTTTCTTGTCGATTTCTTACTATTATCGGTTGACATCATGGTATATTTCCCTGACAGTTGATAAAACATAACAGTGGATTATTTTTGTGTGACGAAGAAGGTTATAGCTGATGTAATGCTGACTTTGATACGTATACGTATGCGTATACTGTTTTTATACAGGTGTTTCTTATTTCATTCGGAAATCGATTCACAATTTCATTCAATAGTTGTGATCAAGTGAATCTATTCCCAGGAGTAAAATATAAGTTCATGATATTTTGTTTATTTTCTAGATTCCATACCTTCACTTCGTTTCTCAGCATATTTTTCAGATATTTATTACATACTGAGAATTCATTCATGCTCCAAAATAATCAGAAATTGTTACATTTAATTTATGTCTCATATTTAGCTAAGTGACAAATTCATACCATTATCTGTGCATTTATTGAAACAAATCATTTCAATACAAATTTAAGGGACAAAAGTGACTAATATGAAAATAGTATATGAATTTAAAGTGTTCTGCATAGTGATTAAGTTACTTATTTGGATGGGTTTTTTTTTTTTAGCGGGCATTGGCAGTTTTGAAAGAGAAATGCTGTACTGTTGAAAGTCAAATGTCGGTAAGTAGTTAAAATTGATTTTATTAACATTTTATATAGATGCAGGCACAATTCCATGATGAAGAACTGTCAAGAAGAGATTCAGAAATTAAGGTGAATTTTGGTGTTATGCACTCACGTTACTTCAGTATTATCATTATTATTATTTCTGTTTCAGTTTGTTTTTGTTTATTTTTTTTGTTTATTTATTTCTCACTACTTTGAAGGTAGTGCTAGACTACCATTTCATAGAACAAGTTTATGATTAAAAATGAATCTGAACATGAGAGATGATATTAAGCTACTTGGTTGGATATTCTGTAGAATAGCATTGCTTGATAGTAATGTCATGTTGTTTTGATGCAGTTGAGTATGGCATTTATTCAATGTTAATGATTTAACTACTCTTTATTAACTTGTATTTTTTTTTAAATTTATATGTCTCTGCTTTTATTTAACAATCTCGAAGTTATTGTCTAGATATTTACGGTTGTCTGATTGTCTGACATAGTGACGAGTTGACTAACAGCTAAATTGCAACTGTCATTCTTATTTATCGCTATTTGAAGCATATGTGAATCGCTGTAGGACAACATCAGATGGTGATATGCTATTTTATATTAGTCATTATTAGATAAGAGACCAAGACAGTTTTTGAACTTAAAACGATATTTGGATGCATATATTATCCTGAGAAAGGTAACATTGAACTCCATCGAATACAACTTTCACAGATCGAGTAATATTTGCAAAGTTAATAGCGATACACATGTTGTTCCATATTAGATTTGTTTATTTGATATAAAGCGCACAGTGATACAGTATTATTTACTTGATTACGTTTCGAGCATAAATTATTGCTCATAATCATATCAATGTAATCACACTTCTTTCGACATCTGATTTTATAGTCCTGTCACCTGATCTCTCTTTGTTTTTTGTTTTTTGATTGGTAGTAAAGTTTTCCATATCTCTGGTATATAGGTGTTGCGTCATTCCTATTACATGTGTTGGGTGTGGATTCGATGAACAAAGATTCAGTAATTAATCTCTCTCTCTCCACCTAGCTATATTAGACTTAAGTACAGTGGTTTTGTCCCATCCTATTGTGTGGTTGTGTGTTAATGAATGTAATGCAATGGCCGAGTGTTTTTCTAGATTATTGATCTTATTGGGGTCTGTCGTTCTATGTTTAGCTAAATTCCTATGTTCTGTTAATCTAACTGACCCCGACCGGCTAGTTTGACCTATGTATTTGACTTCACAGTCATTACATGGAATTTGGTAGATTATATTATTTTGCTTAATTGGTTCTATCGGATCCTTATAGCCGACAAAGCTTACCTCTAAGTGAGTTTGTTGGTTTAAATGCCACCCTAATTCCAACCTTGTTGAGAATCCTACGTATGGTTTCTGATGTTCCTTCCTTGTATGGTATCACAATAGAGGTGTTGATTTCCTTTCTACTTATGTTGTCACTATTATTTGTATTTGTATTAGTGTTATTATTTTGCTTCTTATGTGTCCGTGTGAATTTCTTAATAAAATGATGGGGATAATTATTAGTTATTAACTAATAATTATCCCCATCATTTTATTAAGAAATTCACACGGACACATAAGAAGCAAAATAATAACACTAATACAAATACAAATAATAGTGACAACATAAGTAGAAAGGAAATCAACACCTCTATTGTGATACCATACAAGGAAGGAACATCAGAAACCATACGTAGGATTCTCAACAAGGTTGGAATTAGGGTGGCATTTAAACCAACAAACTCACTTAGAGGTAAGCTTTGTCGGCTAAAAGATCCGATAGAACCAATTAAGCAAAATAATATAATCTACCAAATTCCATGTAATGACTGTGAAGTCAAATACATAGGTCAAACTAGCCGGTCGGGGTCAGTTAGATTAACAGAACATAGGAATTTAGCCAAACATAGAACGACAGACCCCAATAAGATCAATAACCTAGAAAAACACTCGGCCATTGCATTACATTCATTAACACACAACCACACAATAGGATGGGACAAAACCACTGTACTTAAGTCTAATATAGCTAGGTGGAGAGAGAGAGATTAATTACTGAATCTTTGTTCATCGAATCCACACCCAACACATGTAATAGGAATGACGCAACACCTATACCAGAGATATGGAAAACTTTACTACCAATCAAAAAAAAAAAACAAAGAGAGATCAGGTGACAGGACTATAAAATCAGATGTCGAAAGAAGTGTGATTACATTGATATGATTATGAGCAATAATTTATGCTCGAAACGTAATCAAGTAAATAATACTGTATCACTGTGCGCTTTATATCAAATAAACAAATCTAATATGGAACTGCATTCTACCACAGTGCCCAAGTTTTTCACTTATATTAATACACATGTTGTATTTTAGCTAGAAAATATGAACAAGGGTGCTTGAACGTTTTTGAATCAAAAGCAACGGATAGCATACAGTATGATTACCAAAGTCCATATATATATATTTGCAGTCATTTAGACTTTGATATACATTCTGTTCATAAAAATAGAAATAGTAGAATTTTCATTGTGATATTTCTTCTTGGTAGAGAATCCTAAAAGTGGATGAATTAGTCAATTTTTTATTGATAGAAATTGGTACATAATGTTCATCAGTTTGTTTCTAAAGATATCGTAAATTTTTTTCAATTTCTTCATTATATTGTATATCAGCGCTTGAATGAACATATCAATATTATCATTAAACAATTGGAAAATTCTTTATTAACACGTGACAAAGTTCAATCTGAGCTTAGTATTGTTAGAGAACAGTTGGAAAGAAGTAAATGTGACCAGTCGAAATTACAAGAACAACTACTTCTAGTGAGTGTTTCTTTAATTTTCCCGTTTGTTGGCGTTCACAGTTTTATTATTATTATTATTATTATTATTATTATTTATCCTAGACATTAGTGACAAATTTTATGCATAATGGTATGTAATAAGAGTTTTAAGATTGTCAGTTGAACCGTCTGAAAGTCTGCCATCAGAGTACGCAATGAGGATTTCATTCCTGTGCCATGTTTTTATGCATATATTTCATCAATTGTATTTAAAGATTACAGTCAATGCTGATATAAAAGAATACTTTAGCTGGTTTCACAAAGATGAAAAGAAATGGGTTAGAAGTTCTCTGCTTGAATACTTGATTCATTCTAACCATTCAACTGATCTAAACAGCAATTTTACGAATTTTCATAGGTTCCAGTCAAATAACCCACGTTCTTTTTACTTAGGAATTTTGAAAGTAGCTAAAGCTTTGACTTTTGATGAATTAATCTTTGTATGCAAGAGAAGTATGTTGTCTTTACTAGCACCTTGACTTAGCTCTTCGCCTTTGTAAAATAAATTTTTACGACTTTTTTTTCATCATTGTCATTATTATTTGTACAGTCACTTGTTTCCAGTGTTACTTCACGTAATCTTCCCGATTTTTAACAAGACGTCGCCATCTTACCTCTATTAACTGATCTCGTTCAAATCACGTAATCCCTTGATTATTTATTAGATGGACCATATGTTCACCTTTTTACAATCTATGTGTACGCTATGAGCGATCTATGTCTCCTCTGTAACCCATTCAACCTCTGTTTCATCAACTAGCAATATTTTTATGACTATTACCATCATTATTGTTATTTCTGTCTATATATTTAAATTCATTTTTCTCATGATCAAGATTGACAGAAAAGGTATTGTTCATATTGAGATGCTATAACATACTTCAATATGCAATGTTAGCTTAAATAAGATTGGATTGGGAGAAGGCCAAACATCAACTTATAGCACTAATGTTTCTCTGATCCATGTAGGAACGTGCAGATTGTTGAATGCAGATTCTTGGGACGATAGAATCAATACTTGAAATCTGTTGGTGATATGACTCAAAAGCAGTTACAATGGCACAGGTCTATATTATTCTTTGTCATCTTCAGTGTCTTGAATATCTCCATAAAGTTTCATCTATTTATCCTCCTCTCATGCACTTTTCTTTACTATAGTATCACGTTTTGTCTATTCCCTTCTGTGTATGCTGCTATGAAGTGTTATGAACTTGTACCAATGCACTCTTGTGTGTAGTTCTACGTCGATTTTCTTTCCCTACGTTTGTTTGTTTTTCATGAGGTGCTCAAAACAAATAAATATTACTTCCTGTTATGTTTTAAATAAGTCATCCCTGTTTCCTTTAGTTGCTTTTATATTGTCAATATCCTGCATACTGTACAACTTTATAAAACCTCCACTGATAATCACTCACATCCTTTCCATGCAGTTTGTACTTCAAATGATACCGTAATACATTCATTAACTTTTGATTTATTTCTGTTTTCCAAGATTATATCGACATTTTAATTATGTTATGATTAGTTTTGTAAACTGCTTTTAATGCAAATACTTCAAACTGTATACTTTTGAGTGATAGACGCTTTTACTTTGGAGATTTTTTGGGGATTTATTGGTTTTATGTTAGTATTGACCATGGACTGACAACAGTCGCTGTAAAGCATAAGGTTCCTAACTTCGATCCATAGTCGGTTCACACTGGGACGAAATATTTGTCCAACATTCAATGATTCTCTATGTCAGTCTATAGGTTTTTTTTTACATTGAATGTAAATACCGGAGACACTGTATTCAATTTTCACTTTCTTTTGTTTCATATTTTGTTTGTTTAAGGAATTACGTGGTAAAGAAAATACCACATATCGATTTGATAATAGTATGTTGCCTTGGACTAATGCTTTGGATAGTGTTGCTCAATTCTCATCATTGAATATTTTTTCGCATGAAGAATTATTGAGCATGAAATCATTGGTTACTGGTTTTAATGGTGAAAATAAATATGAACTTCAAAATCAACCTGATCTCAGTGTATCCTTATCAGAAGATCAAGCGAAAACTTATAGTATTGTGTCAGATATTGAAAATTGTAAGGTCAGTTTCTCAATCACATTTTTACTATTGTTTAACTAACTCTCCACTTTTATATTTTTAGCATTATCATGTCTTATAATTGGTTATCTAGTTATCTGACGTACATACTTGGAGTTTTACTGCTATACTCAGGTCTCATATTTATGCTGCTCTCAATTAACCTGCAGATTCTTACTAACCGTATATTTCCTTGTGATTCACTTGTTCGCTTTTTATGACTTTCTACCACTTTCGACTACTTTCTTAATCATTTTTTTCTCTTTCCTGTTGATTCTTTCTTGTCTGATGTGCTGATAAAGGGTGTAGCAATTTGGACTGTTACTCTAGTAAAAGCAAGTCATTTTTTGGTACTGATTAACGATGCAATGGGTATGTGTTATCCGTCTGATGACACTAAGCAACAAGAAGTATCAAGAGTTTCCTTTAGTTTTCTAAAACTAAAAATCATGTAAAATGAACTGCTGAATTAAAAAGTGCCTCTATGAGATTGACGAGAATTGTTATCTGCACTCTTTCTTATCAGTGAACTGTTCAAAGTAGTCAAAAAGTTCATGTATCTGAATAGTTTTTGTCAGTGTTGGTTTATATGTATTGTGGAGCGTGTTTGAATCTTATGGATATCGTCATTCATTGATTTGAACTATCATCAAACACTGACTTCGTTGGGTTTCATATACGTTGCAATTATTCTCATAACTGTGAAATTGTTTGAAATTTAATGAGAAATATTGGGTATATAACGTGGCATAGTAGGATGAAGAATAGTTGTTGTAAACGTTCATCGATTGAAGTTACTGGGACATATGTTACAATATGCCTAGTCAGCATCTTCTCGTCACCCAATGTTATCCGAAGTAAGTTTATGTTGAGAAAATATTACTGGCAACCACACTAAAACATGATCTAAGTGTATGAATTCTGTGACTAAAGTCCACTGTTAGAAAATTCCGATAATATGACACGGATTCGATCTCAGGGGCGCAGATGTATGCACACATTATCTCCAATTTAATCATCGTACTAAGTTTCGTTTTTTTCTTTCTTCTTCCCTTCTTATGACTCGCTTCTACTTTTAACCACCTTTTCCCTTATTTCTCTATTTTTTTTTATCATAATGTCTTCTATCTTCACTTACTGATAGGTGTGACAATTTGATCCGTCAAATAGTAATGCCGTTTCCTATGCTAGTGATGACTGCATTTCAGGTGTTGCTCGTATTTTTAGGACAGTCGCTTGTCATGCTGATACTGAGCATAAAATGTTACTTCAGTGAAGCAAATCAGTTGATGGGATTATATACTTGCATCAGCTGTTCATGTTGGATAGAAGAAACATCATGATGTTCGACTCAAGACGTTACATTAATCCTTTAAGTTTCTAGCTGATTATCTAATCCCTTAACGTGAATATTAGTCTTGTGGTCAAATTCTTTCAAGCTTGAAAAGTCAGTGTTTGAAGAATCCGGTTGATGTGCAGCAGAAAGGATATCAATCTCAGAAATGTATTCACACATTTTGTATTTGTCTCAATCGGTAACCTACCTTTAAAACTTTTTAATTTTTTTATATGGTATCTTGACTGCTGATTTTTCTTCCGTTTTTCATATAGTTTTCTATTCTTTTGTTTTTTGTTCTGTCATCCATGTAAATGTAAAGTGTGTAAAGTTAGGCTATTTTAAAAAAAATCAAGTTTTATCATATTTACCGTCTTACTGCATTAGATGATCGATGTTGTGACTAAAAAAGTCGCATATAGCTGATACTTTCCTCATTATCCAATAATTATAGATAAGGGATAGAACTGACGGTACAAATGAAGTCAAAATGGTCAATAACCAAGTCGCTTTACCGAATGATATTGGTGAACTACAGAAAGAGTTAACTTTGGTTCGTAAACAGTTGAGAGATCAAGTACGTTGATATATTGTGTACATTGCCTTTTAAATTTCTGTTCAAAAGCGTTTCTTGATCGGACAGAATTTGCATCTTATCCTCACTAAGACTCGAACTCTGAAGCAATCACTTCAAACAACGGTGCGTTATCCACTGAGTTACAGTAGCCACTCCATATGCAATACGTTAGCATGGTTTGGCTATATAGCTTATAAGTCTCCGTCGTCGATGGGGTGGAATTTATCTATGCGTTGCGAGTTCGAACCCCCCTTGATCTATTCTTGTTTCAGAAACTAGTTGGTATCATTAGCTGTCACATAGTAGATGTTTCATATTGCCCAGTAAACAATTGTGCATGCGGTTGCTGAAATGCCTTCCGGTTTTCGTGAGTTACCAGTTAAAAAAAGTAAAAATCTTATGGTGATTGTTTTTTCGTTGAAGACAAACTGACCCTAAATGATGTACATTTGTTTGCCTAAAGCGTTATCGTGATATATATCTGAACGATGTACTGTCAGTGTATGTTACTGTCAATATTTTTTTCAAGACAAAATCTTTTTTCCATGTATTATAATACGATAGCTTTCTTTCATAGATTCAAGCAATGTCACGGTTAAAAATGGAATACGATTTGTTAGCTGGAAATACGCATCTTGGATCATTAATTTCAGATAATGTTACTTCGGTAACCAAGGACATAAGCGTTAATTCACGGACATCATCTGCTATTGGTTCTGTAGGTGATTTGCCTACAGTTAGTACACCTCCTGGTAATCTGGGTTCTCCTGTTTTCCCAGAAATACTAGGAAGTATCACTCAAGATAATGGTGAGTATTATTTGCTCTAATGTTATAATTATTCGTTTAATTATATGCGAAAACGATGATGATGCTTTTATGTATTTAGTCAGTATATACTTAGGATTTGGCATGACTGCATAACAGCCCAGTTTGCTACAGTTCACACCTACCTACAGTGCTGCAGGATGAATGACACAGATGTGAATAATGATACAACAGTTAGAGAAGCCCATAAGAAGAAAGGGATAAAGTAAATGACAAGATGCAGTAAAATGATTATGGTAAAGAGTAAACTGTGGATCCATCTTGTACCATTGAAATCTATTCCGAGTCATATTACTCAGTTTTCAGTCATGCATTGGTTACACGACAAGGCATAGACATTTTTTATCAAGAAATGTATTACAGCTGATTTTATGTAACAGAAATATGGAAATATTAATCAGTAAGAAAAGTATATGTGCTTGTAACAATCAGAAAAGAAGTTTCATTTGCTTTTCAGTTTGTCTTATTGTTTTTAAATAAGTGGCAAAAATGTATATTGTAAGGGGTGGTAATTTTAAATTCGACTTTAAAGATCATCTAAAATGACCAAAAATGGCCCACACTTAACATTCTACACCGTCAACTGGTTTTTTAACTCAAATTATATTGGTTACTTCACTGATGATATATTTCTAAAATCATTTAGCCCCAGGTATCATGGTTGTTGTAAGCTGCTTATAAAGTTATACTGATAAAGTCTCAAAACATCGAGTTGTGTTATCTGTATGATCAAACATAGGTGAGTTTGTTTACTCAGCAAATGCTAATCTAATATTGTTCATCACTGATGACAGATCAGTTGAGGATGATTACACTTATCTCGAAATTTTGTATAAATGCACTATTTTCACTAACTATTCACCAGAACTCATACAATCTATTCACACAGGTAAGATTCGAATTGTGAGTGTAAGATTGTGGCTATCTGTCAACTGTCCTATACTTGACATAGCTAAATCTTCAGTACATTCGCTGATGAACTAACAGCTGAATGATCAATTTGGATAATGACGACTCTGATAGACTAGTCGATTAATTCAATGAGTTTCAAATACACGAGTAAAATAATTATAACGAATCGATGGTAGTTGTTTAAAGTGAGTTCTTCACTCAGCTAAAAAAATTAGTTGGCGAGCGTTTCAGTGTCGCACTAGACATCATCGTCGGTGCATAACATCTTCCTTGTAAAGCTGAGATAACAGCTTATTGTGAGTATCCACTTCCTAGTTACAAAAAGTCACCACAATTTCTGGATGTTATGTATAGTAATACATACGAATCGGACCAGTCCGAACGTCTTGTATTTCCAGTCAATGAGACATGAACGTTTTAGGAATGCTCAGGCGTGGCTCATAGCTTTAGGCGCCTACTTAAGCCTAGATATCCGAGTAGTATCCTAATACTCACACAATAGGTGTGGCTGATTGCCTTCTGCTTGAATGTACGTATGGTTGCTAAGTGCATTTCGGTGACTTGGTTTGCTATTTCTAGATTATTCTTTCAAATTTGGGATAAAGATTGACACTCAGGAAACTGTATACTTTTATGTTATATTTGCAGTAGCGTGTGTATATATTTTCTATGCCAATATTTCTTTATAGCTAATAATCTCTTGAACACGTGTGATCTAACCAATCCGAATAATTCAGCCTCGTCACATATCGAGAATTCAATGCCAGTTGTGTTGAACAGAGAAAATGAAATCACCGACAGAAATCATTCTTCTGTCTATCCAAAGGTATGCATAACAGTGACATTTGTCTAGAACAAATGATTTTGTAATGATTGATCATTATTTTATACCACAAGGAATTGTTACAGTATTCTACTACACCTACTAAGTGTTTTTTCTAACATTATTTCAGTTCTATTGGACAGAAGTTTATCAGTTGTATTACCTTGACTTGCTATAATATGTGATCTTAGATCAGTGAGCACTATCAAATCAGACAGTAGGAAAATAACAAAGTTGGTTGTAAACAATAAAATGGAATTCCAATCCACCATAATGTTCAAGTTTTACTTTTATATTAAGTCTCGTAACATAACCAACTGATTAAACTTTCAGGAAATGGGTAAACTTATCAATTTAAATTGATGCAATTCAGTTCGTTTCTTACACAACATTGTTTGAGTTGTGAGTATTGTATATGATTCCATGAAATTTCAGCGTAGAATATTTTCCATAATAATATCACTCCTAATCTCACTTTATGCCCGATTCTTTCATCTTGATTCCGAGATCTTTAAAGTTGCCAGCCTAGATTGTTTTTTTCTCAATGGAAGTTTATTAGCACTTTTCTATCATGTATTTCCATTGTAATCTTTGATGGAGAAGTCTTATGACACTGTCTCACTGAAAGGCGTGCCGAATAAGTACATCACCTTATTTAAGGCTCTCTACTCGAACACTTGTGGGGTGTGTTAGAGCCTATGGTGAGATGTCCAGGCAGCTATGCTCATGGAGTAGTGTCCGTCGAAGATGCTCACTCTCTGCATTATTATTCGATTTTATCGTAGATATTCTCATGGAGGTCTCTCTCTCTCGTCACCTGATTACACAGACGTTGACCTAATCACAGGAGAATTCTCGTTAGACTTAGAATATGCGGATGACGTAGGTCTGTTAGGTGAAGACGCTGGCAAGATGCAGAGTCTTCTGAACACCTTGAGTGTCAATTTGAGAATCTTTGGGATGCGTTTCTCACCACCACCACCACATGCAGATTGTCACTCTAGGATTAATCTTCAACGGTGCCTCGGCTAACGATAGAAAGTGAAGTGGTTAAGTGTGTCGACCACTTCACCTACCTGCGAAATAGGATCAGCCCTGCCCTGGTGGCTCAGTGACTGATGGAATCTCTGCACGAATACAAAAGCCTCGGCTGTCTGTCGCCAACTTACGCTACCTATGGCGCCGCCGTGATATCCGATTGTCTATTAAGGGTCGCATGCACTGCACCTGCACAGCAGTCCGCTACGCTCTATTCTATGCCTGTGAAATATGGCCATTCAAGGTGGGAGAGATGAGAAGGCTGGCTTCAGGTGTTTGACCACCACTGCCGTTGTATTACAGGCAGTATTTCGTAGTGTCACCATGTGAGTAACGCGGAAATCAGATGTAGAGTTTTAGGGAGTAGAGGTAAATCAGTTGACGAGGTTATAAACCTTCATCGACTGAGATGGCTAGCAGGAACATGTGTTACGTATGCCTATTCACCGATTGCCTCGTCACACAATGTTGGTCGGAGTAGGCTCAGAGTGAAGAAAAGCTCGAGGCAACCAGACTAATACATGGCATCAACATATGAAGTTTTTGACTGAGCCATGTGGGGTGATGCAGACTAGGTGGTTGGGGTCCGTGGGACAAGAGAAGCGAGTGGTTGGAGACTGACTCTAGGTGATCGCATGACTCAGAACCGATGTCAGTCGCGTAGATGTATACACACATTATCCTCATTTTAACAATCCTATACCGAACCTCACCATTTCCTCATTCTTTATTTCTCTCTTTTAACACTTTATATTTCTTTTGGCTGAATTTTCTTTTCTTCATCAGTGCCGTTTTACTTGATGTACTGATATGAGCTGTGGCAACTTGGACCGTTACGCAGTAATCCCTGGTCCTATGTTAATATTGATGATGATGACGCTGAATCTAGCTACTGAACGCTTGGTCCTGATTATTTACAAGCAACATTCATCATAAGCATTCAGCGTATCTTAAATTTTTTTTTTTTGAAGCTGATATTTTATTAATTTCCTCTTATTTATTCATTGTCTGCATGTCAATTAATCTTTTTTACATTATCTGTGAGAGACAGTCGACAGCTGGACTTTTTTATTGTTATTGTTGTTAAACATGTGATGATATTTTTTCGCACCAAGATGTTTATCATTCTGGTTGATAGTGTTTTTCAAATACCGTTTATTTAATATTTTTAGTTAACTATCTCTGATGTATTCAATCATATCACTGTTATTCCTGAAGAACAAGAAGTAGTAAATGAACAAGATAATAAAGAAAATCGGTCTAATCAGTTTACTCCAGAAAATAGCATTTCAATTGGCGTATCGAATGAACCAAACTCTTTGTATCGACTACGAAATCTTTACGATTTGGTACATGATTTAAAACTCAAATTGGATAATGTTCGCTTTACGCAGGTAAACATAATGTTATATGTTGATAGATCATAGTAGGATTATAGTTCAAAGACATGATTAGCTATAATTTACACAAATCTTCATATCTATACTGGCGAAATAAAGTGTTTCCAGTTATAGGTCATTTGAAATTGAATCCCATTAATAAGATATTTAAACATTCAATTTGGAAGGTGAGATTTAGTTCATTTGAACAGGTTTAGTTCACTGAGTTAAATTGGTACAGGTAAACTGTAGATTAGTCAGATCTTCAATAAGCGAAACAACTGGCTATAAATATCAGTATCATTGATAATACTTTGGATACTGGTGTTGACCTGAAGGCGGCATTTGACTCCGTTGATCGAGAAGTCTTATGGCAATGTCTGTCACTGAAAAGCGTGCCTAGTAAGTACATCACGTTATTGAAAGCTCTCTACTCGAACACTTGTGGGCATGTTAGAGCCTATGGCGAGTTGTCCAGGGAGCTATACTCATCTAGTGGTGTCCGTCAAGGCTGCCCACTGTCTTCACTCTTATTTAATTTTATCATAGATATTCTTATGGAGGTTTCCCTCTCGTCACCTAATTACAAAGACGTTGACCCAATCACAGGTGAATTTTCTTTCGATCTAGAATATGCAGATGACATAGTCCTGTTAGGTGAAGACGACGCTGACAAGATGCAGAGACTGCTGAACACTTTGAGTGGGAATCTGAGAATGTTTGAGATGCGATTTTCACCAACACCACCAAATGCAATTTTTTGCTCCAGGACTGGTCTTCAGCGGTACCACGGCTAACAATAGAGAGTGAAGTGGTTGAATGTGTTGACCACTTCACTTACCCAGGGAGTAGGATCAACCCTGGTGGGTTAGTTGCCGATGAGATTTCTGCACGGATACAAAAGGCTCGATTGGCTTTTGCCAATTTGCGCCACCTATGGCGCCGCCGTGATATTCGTTTGTCTATTAAGGGTCGCGTGTACTGCACAGCAGTCCGCTCTGTTCTCCTGTATGGTTGTGAAACATGGCCATAGAAAGTGGAGGATACAAAAAGGCTTCAGGTGTTTGACCACCGTTGCCTTCGTAGTATAGGACGTATTCTGTGGTGTCACCACATGAGTAATGCAGAAGTCAGGTATAGAGTTTTAGGAAGAAGAGGTAAGTCAGTTGACGAGGTTGCTAACCTTCATCGACTGAGATGGTTGGGACACGTACTACGTATGCCTAGTCACCGATTGCCTCGTCACACAATGTTGGCTGAGGTGGGTCCAGGCTGGAAAAAGGCCCGAGGTGGCCAAACTAAAACATGGCACCAATATATGAAGTCTCTGACTGTTGGTTTAAGCCATGTAGGACGATGCAGACTAGGTGGTTGGGGTCCACGGGACAAGAGGAACCAGTGGTTGTAGACTGTGGGTGATATGGCTCAGAACCGAAGTCAGTGGCGCAGATGTATACACACATTATCCTCATCTTAACAACGCTATAACGAATCTCACCATTTTGTCACTCTTCTTTCCTTTCTTCTCGTACTTTATATTTCTTTTGACTGCATTCACTTATCTTCATCCTTCACCTCACTATCTTTTTACTTGATGTGCTGATACGAGGTGTGGCAACTCGGACCGTTACGCAGTAATACCTGGTCCTATGTTGATAATGATGATGATGATTGTAAGCACATACATTCGTCAGTACATTTTTGTTTTCACTCAGATTCACTGGCATCAGTCCATCCATCCAAATCCACATAGGACCAGGGATTACTGCGTAACGGTCCAAGTTGCCACAGCTCATATCAGTACACCAAGTAAAACGGCACTGATGAAGAAAAGAAAATTCAGCCAAAAGAAATATAAAGTGTTAAAAGAGAGAAATAAAGAATGAGGAAATGGTGAGGTTCGGTATAGGATTGTTAAAATGAGGATAATGTGTGTATACATCTACGCGACTGACATCGGTTCTGAGTCATGCGATCACCTAGAGTCAGTCTCCAACCACTCGCTTCTCTTGTCCCACGGACCCCAACCACCTAGTCTGCATCACCCCACATGGCTCAGTCAAAAACTTCATATGTTGATGCCATGTATTAGTCTGGTTGCCTCGAGCTTTTCTTCACTCTGAACCTACTCCGACCAACATTGTGTGACGAGGCAATCGGTGAATAGGCATACGTAACACATGTTCCTGCTAGCCATCTCAGTCGATGAAGGTTTATAACCTCGTCAACTGATTTACCTCTACTCCCTAAAACTCTATGTCTGATTTCCGCGTTACTCACATGGTGACACTACGAAATACTGCCTGTAGTACAACGGCAGTGGTGGTTAAACACCTGAAGCCAGCCTTCTCATCTCTCCCACCTTGAATGGCTATATTTCACAGGCATAGAATAGAGCGTAGCGGACTGCTGTGCAGGTGCAGTGCATGCGACCCTTAATAGACAATCGGATATTACGGCGGCGCCATAGGTGTCGTAAGTTGTCAGTATTCTTGTCTAGATAAACTGAGGAATTTTCTAGTTCAAGTAATACTTGAAAGTTGGAAAACTACTCGGTTGTTTACGTGTAACATGCAATTTAGAAAAAATTTAGAATTACTTGGCCTCACGAAAAGAATTAAGTAGCAGTTTTCTGTGTTTCATGCTAATTCAGATTAGTCACTAGAGTTTATTTGCATCTTTAGGTACCTGCTACTTTGATATGGTGGTCGGGCTTGCATATAGCAGTATCTCAACGAGCTGTACTGGCTGAAACGCTTGCTCTTTGATGCCGGTTCATTCCATAAAGGTATGCTAGGTAGCGATAAGACGGAAAGCAGTTGCCGTTATGGTATAAATAATTGCACTGTGTTATCCTTTATAGCCGACCTCGTAATACCGAATGGACAGTGCTGCAACAAAAGTAGCCTTTGCTGTTGCCGCTTACTCTGTGGAATGCGGTGGTAAGAAATGTCATTTGATGTCGGTACCAGCTTTTTGTCCGGCAGTAAGGCAATCAATTCTGAATCTAAAATCCTTCAACTGGGTCATGTGTGAGCGACCTCCAGCAGACACCATGCAAAACTAATATTTTTTTTCCACTCACCTTCATTCCTGAAACAACATGCATGCTGTTACTTGCCTAAACTTTAGAATCTCGAATTATGGATGCATTCTGAATTACTGGGACATGCATACAGGACTCCAGTATGGCTATGCAACTAACCTCATCTGCTCAATGTGTTGAATCTACAAAATTCACTATGTGAATGCCCATAAATTCAATTGCTAGGTCCCACGATCTTGCTGGTTTAGGCATTGGATTGAGCTGTAGAACAATTGTGAACTGGACGCCGACTGTGTGCTGTCCAAGTGGACAGATCTGTAAGAACTGGAGATAATGACATTCTTCGACGCCTATTCCTAATCTCTGTCTAAGAGCCCACTGGCTACAGGCTGAACGACAAAACTGATGAGTTCTACCATTTTTACTGCTTGGAGCGAAACGTTAAGATATGGTAATGGTAGCAGATAACCTGGACGCTCAAGTAGAAAAATTAAATCCAAATAAAGGCATTGTGGTGGAACCTACGGTATTGCTTGGAGATGAACTGACTGAGAGGTCATATGGTGTCTTAAGACTGTTAAGGGAGCACGGGGGAAGTGTGTAAGTAATTATGTATGTATGTCATCTGAATTGACAACAGTGAATGGTGTCCGCCAGGGATACCTGCTGTCACCGATCCTGTCAAGCTTCGTTATAGATGTAAATATGGATATAACTGTAGGTACCTCCAACCTATTAGGGATTAACCTGATGGGCATCTGTTTGACTGGGGGTATACAGATGGCATTTTCCTGTCAAGCGAAGATATTAATAAAATGCAGGATGTTCCCAACTTATTGAGCAGAAATCCGAGTATGTTTAGCCGGCGGTTTGTGTCTCTCAAATATAAGACGGTGCTTCAGAACTAATCTACACCTACTTTCAGTTTGAGTATCACGGATAAATTAGTCGGAATGTGTTGACCTCTTAACTGTCTTTGAATGGTGCATCAAGTCGAATGGATTGGTGGTTGACGAAATTTAAGCGTGGATATGAATGTCTGTTTGACATATATCAACTTACGCAACTTATAGCTTCAGCGAGATATCTGACTGCCCATTCAAAGATGATTGTTCTGTGCAGCTGTTCGTTCTGTTATTACATTACCGTGATAAATGTCCATTGATAGTGGAAAATGTGGAAAGGTCATTGGTTTTCGACCTCTATTGTCCTCGTAGCATTTCTGTCTTATGGTAGAATTTCCTTGTGAGTAATATCGATGTTCCGTTTAGAATACTAGGGAAGGAAAGCATGTCACTTGTTGAGTTTGTGAACGCTCACCTACCGAGGTGGCTTGGACATGTGCTGTGCATGCTGAGCCACCGTCTACCTTTACGTACAACGTCAGCCGACTTAGGGTTGTCTGACCAATACATTGCACTAGTCCATGAAGTGTCCAAGTGTTAGTCTGAGTCGTATGGAAAGATATACGTTACCTTATTAGGTCTTCGAGATAATAGGAATGAATAACTGGAAACTTTTGGTGGCTTTGCTAAAAGCATATATTCACTCTTTGACGTCTTCTAAAATTTGAATATTTTCAATGACCTTCATTTATTTCTTGTTACTTGTCGCATACACTAGTGTAATAGTGTAACATTACTCTTTTTCTATGCCATTCTGTTCTTAATACCATGAGGCGTGGTATCATGAACCGTTGGGCTTTTGTGTGATATTCTACATGGTTTTCTGTGTCTTTCTCGCATAGAGTTGTTCAATAGACTGCTAAGTTACTTTTTTTGGCTCTTCGTAGACACTCTCACTTCTAGCCAATACGGAAAGCTTTTTTCTTTTTGTTTTGTTAGCTTTCAACGAGTTTTATCATATGATTCTTATTTTTATGTTTTATATCATGTTATGAGATAAGGCGAATTCGACCACTGCTCATTGATATCAAGTCGCTTCTTGGTAATGATTAATTGGCTAGGACACCATGACTCATTAAGACTCAAGTCGTCACTAAAGTATGAGTACTAGATAAGTAGGAATTTGGTTGCTTATTATTAAGCTGTATTACGTATAATTTGATACTTTTTGACTGGTTCAGTTGTGTTTTAGAACTATCCTGTCTCTTCAGTGTAGGACATCAAACTGTTATATGCATAACTAGACGGCTTGGTTCTTTATTCTGAGCTTTCGATTTTTAGTCACTGGATTTTCAAACCAAACAATATCTACTTAAATGTGGGTTACTGAAAGGCATATTTAAGTCTTACGTAATAAACATACCCCTAGGCATTGTTTGTAAATAGGCGGTTTTTTAAAGATTATTTAGGCATAATCAACTGATTTTTGTCTAGTCAGTTAATTCATTGTTTCTCAATATCATTTATCATACTTCGATGTTTATTTTTCCCCTTTAGCACTCGTTTGTTGAAATGATTAATCATAGTCTGTCAACAGCAGGCATTGACACATCACTACGAGTACCTTTTACTCCAAATGAAGTTGAAGATAGTGTGAGACATAGCCTTTCAGTAGTGTGTGATGATAAATCTTTCGAAGAAAGCGGGAGAATGTTGTCTGATCATGCTAAGGTGATTCATGAGAGCACAGAAATCACAAATAAAACTCCCTGTAATTCTGGTGATTCGTATATTAACAATGCTCATGAAGACTCTGTTTTAAATGAAACCGTTGCCGAGTTATGGGGTGGATGCCCAAAATCTCCTGTTCGGTTACATGAAGAAACTGCAAATCTAAAGAATAAATCCAAGCATCCAGTGGTTCAGAAGGCTGTTAGTAAAATCAAAGGATTATCACTCAAATCGAAAATTAGTTGTCTACCACAGATAAAAGATAAAAATAAAAATCTAATAGGTTCAGCTACTATTTGTGAGAATGGTGAAGATTCTCAACAGGACTCAATCATTTCAAAAGGTTTGAGCCGTAGTTTCAATGTTGGTGAAAACTATGGGGATATTTTTGACAAACGTCATACCGAAGTGGCTGATGTTGGGAGTTAACCATTGTGGAGTGGGAGCACAAAGATATATTCGAACGTCTAGCCCATGCAGTAAGTTTTCAAGAATATGATTTATTTCCACTTCTCATTATACTATAAATCGTATAATATATCCATGTGTTCCATGCATGACTTAGTATCAATACGTTCCACACATTAACTGTACTAACTTTGTCATATATAACAGGACAAATACAGGGGAAAAGAACCATACATTATGTTTAGTGCAACTGTTCATGTGATATTTTGGAGGTATTGTATGTCCTCACTTTGTTTCATTGACCGGATACAATGCTGTGATAGATAATCAACATGATCTCATGGGTGATCATTTCGTCTACTCATTAAGTAGAATATTTTATCCTTGTCACTTTCAGCTACCTCCTTTATATCCATCGACCTGTCTTGTTTTTGTCATGTGACTTAAATTTTATTGGCATCCCTCACGACTGTAATCAATCTATGAAGATGTAAAGGAGAGACAAGTGTCATAGAGTATTTCCCGTTGACCGTTATTTCTTTACTGCACCTAAATTCATGTGCTTAACATCAAATCGATGGATTTTTGAGATGAATATTGTAGGCTTGTACAAAATATGTTATCTCGACCGATTCGTTTCGACAGTAGGAACTGGTATCCTTTAAAGTTTGATAACTCTTACACTCTTTTGTCACATTTTAATACTTCATGATCTTTTAACTACTGGTTACCTTGAAAAATAAAGGTGAGCTATACCACACTTCTTTATCAGGTGAAATTTCAAGTGATTCCTTTGGTGTTACACAAGCATCTGAAGCCTAAAGGTTGTCTATGAATACTGGTCTCCTTAGGATCTATTTTTATGTTATTGTTAGTCCAATTAGTTTCACCACTACTTCTAGCTATAGTCTTTCTGACCGCATACATATGAATGTCTTTCTCCGTGTTGTGTCTACCTTCCCTAGGAGTGCAGATGAGACACCGTGTCCTAGCTGGACTTCACTTCGACTATCTCCTCAAAATCCCCACACTCACGACGAGAGTCGAGCCTACTTTGGAGACAGACGCCTTATCCATTAAGCCACACAGGCGGACAGTTTGTCGCAGGCGATTCATCAGTTAACAGATAAGGTAGTCAGTCTTGTTATATAAAAATACTGACAAAATTCAGAATCCCCTGAGCATATAGATGACGATTTGACCGCATCGTATCTCACCTCCTGACGCTTCAAGATTAGTTTGCATTAATGTTTCATCTGACAATAAGAAGCAAAGTGGTTATACTTGCTAACTTCTTCATCGAATCAGTAAGTCTAACTAATCGTCATGGGTCGATTATCGTGAAAATCTTTGGATACATTAAGCTGAATCGACTTTTTTCAAATTGAGTCATTTGTATTGTATGAACACTCAACAAGAGGCAACTAAACTGTTCATTAGATATGTATCTGTGAAGCATTATCATCCAAGTTCGCTACCTCTGACTGAATAACAGCGTAAATGACGTAGTGGTTAGGTGTCTATAGCTGTATGTGAATGAGATTGGTCAGTTGACGTTATAAATCTCCATCCTCTAACCTAACTGAGACATATGTCATGCTTGTCTAACCACCATTTATCATGAAGTACTTCGTCATCGTCAATGGTATTCTGTTAAAAAGAAATTTAATGCGACCAGATCAGAACATGGTATCACTGCACGTCTCAATATAGTCATCATCTCATTTCAACATTAAGAATGGTGTGACAATTCATTATTCTTCTTTTATTGTGCCCATCTATATGTCCTCTGTTAAAGTAATTTATTTCTCAGACCACATTGTATTTTCTTGCATGAAATCAACCAGTTATCATCAACATTGAACGAGGCGTTACTACGTGACGGCTCAAGTCACCACACTCCATATCAGTACACCCACATCAATTAATATGCTTTTACAAGTAAAATATATGATTAGATTGTTCAAAATGTGTTATGATAATACATCACATTTCTCAAATAATCTGTAACCCATAAGTCTTCATCATTTGGATTACTCAAACCGAATATTTGTTTTTGCGTATTGCACATTGTTTAGTCTCCCTTTGTGTATATGTGTCCCTCTCGCTGTCTCTGTCTCTCACCGCTTCACTTAACTGCTTTTTTGTGTTGCCTTTTAGATGTCTAGATTAAGAGACGCTATTGACGAGTGTTCAGATGTTAGTTCTGCATTCTGGGATGTTGATATCAAGAAGAATTTATCAGCTTTGTTAACCAGTCATCTTGAATCAAATCATTCAGTTGATGGTAGGAATTCTGCTAGGAGACCAATAAATGTTGGTAACATGGTTATAGATACTACACGGTCGAATAATTCATCTCATCAGCTGACAAATGTCAGTGATGCTGCTGCTGCTGCTGCTCCTGATTATGATTCAATTGACTTCTTTGGACAAAATACAGATGAAGTGAAGTCAAGCCAATTATATGGCCCTGTATGGCTTCAACCCGAGTAAGTATATTCGTTCAACTATTTTTCGTATGCTAGACGTCAGATACGAACCGAGAATGTTCTTTTCAATAACTTCCTATAAGTTTCGACAGTTATAAAATCTAATTTGCTAACATAGTAACAGCTGAATTTGTGGTGTTTGGATACGAAAGTATAATTAGGTAACATGATTCTGTGGATTATAACATGATGTATATACGCATGTCACCTGTGGTCATTAATTGAATGTAAACTGCAACTATCGAATGATTGATGATTAATCATAGTAGAATGGCGTTATGTCAGGTGGGTGATAAGTACAAAGAATGAAGTGAATTGACTGAAACGGTAGAAATGAAGTGGATATTTTGTCATAAAACGCTCAATATAGGAAACGGTTAATATAATATAGCCATAGGAGCAATGATATACTGATTGACAAAGGCACTGTGTAGAGATTTTTTTTACAGAAATTTAGAGGTTTGTTAAAAGGGAAAAATTAGGAGAAAATACGTTTACAATTTTGATTTAAAAAGGTAGGGAAAGGTGTACTCAAATTCACTAGACGTTCTATACCAGCACATTTGATAGATAGATAGATAGATAGATAGATAGATAGATAGATAGATAGATAGATAGATAGATAGATAGATAGATAGATAGATAGATAGATAGATAGATAGATAGATAGATAGATAGATAGATAGATAGATAGATAGATAGATAGATAGATAGATAGATAGATAGATAGATAGATAGATAGATAGATAGATAGATAGATAGATAGATAGATAGATAGATAGATAGATAGATAGATAGATAGATAGATAGATAGATAGATAGATAGATAGATAGATAGATAGATAGATAGATAGATAGATAGATAGATAGATAGATAGATAGATAGATAGATAGATAGATAGATAGATAGATAGATAGATAGATAGATAGATAGATAGATAGATAGATAGATAGATAGATAGATAGATAGATAGATAGATAGATAGATAGATAGATAGATAGATAGATAGATAGATAGATAGATAGATAGATAGATAGATAGATAGATAGATAGATAGATAGATAGATAGATAGATAGATAGATAGATAGATAGATAGATAGATAGATAGATAGATAGATAGATAGATAGATAGATAGATAGATAGATAGATAGATAGATAGATAGATAGATAGATAGATAGATAGATAGATAGATAGATAGATAGATAGATAGATAGATAGATAGATAGATAGATAGATAGATAGATAGATAGATAGATAGATAGATAGATAGATAGATAGATAGATAGATAGATAGATAGATAGATAGATAGATAGATAGATAGATAGATAGATAGATAGATAGATAGATAGATAGATAGATAGATAGATAGATAGATAGATAGATAGATAGATAGATAGATAGATAGATAGATAGATAGATAGATAGATAGATAGATAGATAGATAGATAGATAGATAGATAGATAGATAGATAGATAGATAGATAGATAGATAGATAGATAGATAGATAGATAGATAGATAGATAGATAGATAGATAGATAGATAGATAGATAGATAGATAGATAGATACATGCTTCTACAGTCTTTACTATGCTACATTGCATTCAGCAACCTCTATCACCTGTCACTCGTTAACGCATTCTCCGTTTATCTGAAATTGACTATTAAAGTCATCTAAGCCAGAACTTACTAGGAATGTCTTCAAGCCTTACTCCTTCCCTAGGTTAGCATGAACAAACTACCATTTCTTTTCCCCTAAGTTTATCTTTCGTCATACATATTGATACTGAAAATTTTTCATTCTTAAACCAAACCTAATTGATCGGCTTATCCTGACATATGGGTTTCTATAGAGAGATACCTTGAAATATTCATTGTTTTTTTTAATTTTGCTTTATAGTGGTAGTTTATTTTTGGAAAATAATTTTTTTCTTACTTTATGCATTTACGTAACATATGAAATCTAGAAACAACAATGATCAAACTAATGTATATTGGAGACAATTAGAAAATGAATTGACTCGTGTAAATCATGAACGTGATCAGTTGACACTGAAACTTCAAGAAGTAACTGATAAATTGATACGTGTTCAAGAAGATAACAGTTATTTAGAGGTGAGTTTTTATGAAAGTTATTCATCTTATAATAGATATAATTATGCTCTTTAGGAAAATTTTAATATTAGGTTCCCACCTGTTGGTTGTAATAAATGAATTTAATTTTTGAAATGTCCTAGAAATCACTTCTATATATAGGATACATCACAAACTAAGTTTATTATCAATGTGATGGATTTACGTGAAAGATCCTTATGTTGTTATCTGTTAGGAGGATATTCACAATAATTCTTATCAATCAATTTTGAAGTTTTTATATTTTCTAATAAACAAACCGCTGATTTTTATCTAAAGCAATTCATAAGAAGTTGTGAACGGTCTATCTGTTATCACTTTTCATTGGGTGGCTAGGATTATAAAATTTAAAAGCATTAGGTGTGTATACATTTCTGTTCGACCATAGTTTAATACTTTACAACAGAAACAAGAATCTAAACCTTATTACTAAACCAGTTTTGTAGCTCTATTAATATTTAGTGTAGAGATAGTATGAATTGCAGTGAAGATGTGGTTCATTCGTCTGCGCACCGAATATTTGACTAGTTAGTCGTTGGTTCGAACCCCGCCCCGCCTACTGAAGTTTGGACAATTGGGTAATATTATAAGCCGTTACAAAATAAGTGTGACTCATTGCCTACTGCACGAATGTGCACATGATTATCGAAATTCATTTCTATTTGATTCGCAGTCAGACGTAGGTTTTATTCCATTTAATATCACTGTCTTGAAACTAAGTTAGATTTTCGTCATTTAACTACCGATTAAGTTCCGTTAACATATCAGTGAGTAGTTTTTATCCACAATGTTTCACTTTACTACTGTTTTTAATATCTATAATCTTTCTTTTTCAGCATGAATTTAAGTCATTGCATTGCAGTTCATCTCTCCCGCTAACTGATGTCAATGATGAATATCCGCCTACAGATATTTTGCTCAAAAATAATCATCTGGAAACTGTAGATAAAGCCATTCAACTTGAAACTAATCTTATTATATGTGAAAACGATGCTAGTCATCAATATAAAAAACTAAAAGATGAATTACACAAGAGAGATGAAACTATACACCGTTTGGAATTGGATCGTTTGTACATTATGAAAAAACTGAGTTTATTGAATTCAGATGACACTTGTTGCACAAACATGATTGAACTTATCGATACTGTTGTCACAGAAATGTCTACTTCTCGTACATTGATAAGAGACTTAAAACATCATATTAGTGAGTTTGAAAGACGATTAGACGACTGTATACCAACAGGTGAATATTATCAACTGAAAGAACAAGTTGACTCATTAAGACTGGAACTGAACCAAGTTTATAGTCAAGTTGACCATTATAAAAGTACACTTGAGTTTGTCTCAACCACTTTAGAACCCTTATTATGCATTGAAAAATCATTACCATTTAACGAATTAATTGATAATATTGTAGACAAATTTCAAAGACAAGATGCCTTGATAAACTCTTTGAGCACAGAACGAGATATTGCTTTCAATACAATCAAAAGTTATATAACTGCCTCTGTTCAACCGATACCAAACTCATTGATAAAATGTATAGAAATAATTGGTAATGATTCATCTCATTTTCACTCATTGGTTAACAATCTAGAGTTGGATAGACAACAAGCTATGGACTTGATTAAGAAAATGGCTCCAGTTGAAAAAAATTTACACACTATTTCTGATTATGTTAACTGGTTTATTCATCTATTCAACAAAACACAAAACAAACTAAATGATATGGAACAATTATATGAAGAAACTAAAAATTCTCTGTCTGTTTCAATTGAGAAATTTGAAAAATTTGAGCTGATAATTAAATCATTAGATAAGAAATTGAACACATGTCAATACCGTCTAAAGTGTTGTCAGTCTGAACTAGTTCAAGTTACAGAGACTTGTATACCGTTGGAGGTGCATAATAATATTTTGAAAAATCTACAAACAGTTGAGAAGTTGTGCAGTGAATTTCAGTCTAAAAATTTGGAATATGAACAGAAACTACAAACTATCATAGGAATCATTGGTAGCACTCTATCGAAGACAATTGAACCGAATAACTTGAAAGATGATGTAATGGAAATTTGCTCCTCTCTCACTTCATATCGAAATGCTTCAAATTCAGCTGATCAAAGATGTAAAGAATGGGAAGTTAAATTTGAAAACTGAACAACAGTTACACTGAACAAATAACAAAAATTGATCAATTACAATGTACTATCAGTAACAAAGATGCTAAGATTAAGGCACTCACAGAGACTAGTACAGCTAACCACAAGTTTATTGAAGAATTAGAAATTGAGTTGAGTCGTTTACGTGAAGAACATATGAATTGTCCTGCTCAACATGAATTAATCAATGTCCAGACATCACCTATAATACGTGACTGGATTCAAGATGCAGAAACTGAAATTTCTACAATCCACTTGCGTACTGATCAAACAGTTAATACTTCATTAGCAACTACAAACAATTTGAGGTTGCAAAAATACTGTGAATTACGTACAGCAGCTTTTGAAATAAAGAAGAAATTGATTCAAAGGACTGAGTAAGTTACTAGTCTTTACAGTATTATTTGAAATTTATAATCTCTTAACATCTACGTCATGCATTTCGTATGAATGTTACATAATTATATAGCGTTATCTAACACCCTACATTATGCTGCATCTCCTCCCGTCATTCTATGCTCAAGAAAAGATAAGACGAACTTTAAATCATCATGAATCGTAGTAACTCTTTCCCTGTGTTGGCTACTACTTACTTTAATGCTGTAACACTACTATGTATCGGATCTTTTAGTTTGTTTGTATTGAACAATGTTTGTGTTCAAGGTAAATTAGCTAACTAGTTTTTATACAACGAGATAAATTTCATCAATTTCACCCTTTTACTGCTTTCAGGATATTATTTGATCCATGTCATATAAGTTGTTAGAGTATTTATCTTTTTGATGTAGTCAAACAAATTTATTTCAAAACATCTCACCTTTCATCTAATCATCAAATCACTGTACATAAACACCGAAGGTGAAACTATGTGAAAACAGCTTTATTCCGATGAACCGATCAGATGATTAAAAAATAATTTAGGGGTAAATGTGTATTTAATCGATTCCTTGCATAAAGTTGAAGTAATGTCATCAAGAAGATTCATATAGCTAGATGTTGCACCCCCATGGTTTGTCAGGTGTTAGATCTTGTAAGCGTAGATGATTGAAGAGTTGGGATTTGTTCCTATGCAGAAAATCTTTCAGTTTCGGCTGTTGACAACTCTTGGCGAAAATTGGTTATCAATTGATGAATAACTGACGCTCAATTTGTGGACATTTTGTTTTCTCTTACAAAAGGAATGAAGATTCGAAATCAATACTTAGGATTTGAAATACTGCAAAATAGTGTTTCTATAATAACATTTTTTGCAGTTTTATGAATGTATCGACGGTACTCAGTTTTTCTTGTTTGCAGTAATGATGGTTTGTGTGGTGTGATGCCTAACTTTATTCGAAATCCTAACTCCACTATTTTATTATCAAAGGATTCCCTGATATCACCACTTTTGACCAGTTACCGTCTGCATTTGTGATATAACATTCCATGCTAAGTAAATGTGAGATGCAAAATTCGGAGATAAATTGTTCGAACTCATCTTATCTTTAAGATGTAATTTAATGTTTTCCTTCCTTTAATTCCAACATATGCTGCCTTGAAATGTGGTAACAAGAAGTCAGTGCGCTTCTGCACTAGTTTCTATAACCTTAAATTCTTGCATTTTTTGTTCTTCGTGTTGTGCTTAGCTTCATTGAAAGTGGGACACTTTTCAGCAGTTTCATTTGTGATTGGATATGCTTTCTCCTTTGTCTGCATCAGAAAATAGTATAATTCGTTTTAGAATTAATTGCCTCAGAGCTTGTTCCCGTAATGCATTCCTGCTAAAAATGATCGTTCATTACATGTAACATCACATGACTTATTGATATAAATTATCTTTTACTGAAAAGGTGTTTTTTTTTCTATTCCGGTACACATCATTTGTTAAAAAGATACATAAAATCAACACGGAACTTGTGCTCTGACAGAATTGTGAGAGCGGTCCACACTTTTCGGCTACCCACACCGTGGAAGGCTAGGTCTTCTAGAGGTCCTTGAAAAAGAAGGGTCAGTGCCTGACCACGTAGCCCAGGGGATATGTGCTTGAGGCCTGTCACGTACGGCCTTTTTAATGCCACGAAAATTGGTCTGTATTATGAACGATGAAGTCGGATATACGTCCTGTGGTTTTGGATCACCATCAACTACTGATGACTGATCTAAGACACCTTAATGCATCATTTCGCCGTTTATGTTAAGGATAAGGGTAACTGCTTTTTGTCTAACCACTATCCAGCAGACCTTTCCGGTGTGATAAGACCTCGAGGGAACAAGCGTTCCATTAGCATAGGTCGTTTGGTCATTTTGATATACAAGCCTGATGACAACTTCAAGCTAGCAGCTATCGGTGAGGAAGTCAGCGTGTGGCTAGGGATTAATGCGTACCGGTTTCAGGTGAGGATAATTCTTGCATATATCTGTGCCTTTGAAATTTGTTCTGAACCATATCACCTAGAGTCTCCAACCCCTGGTTTCTATTGTCTACATTTTCCTACCCAACTCAGAACAACAGTTAACAACTTCATGCACTGATACCGTGTTTCAGTCTGACTGTCCCTAACCTTTTTCCAGACTCAACCTACTTCAGCTCACATTGTGCGACGGGATTATATCATGCGTATTCTAGATCTACCAAGGATTCTCCTGTGGATGGATACTGATATACAATCTCATCTATCTGTCAGCACTCAGGTTTTTGGTAATAGATTTGTAGTTATTAGTTGGAAGGAGAAATTCAGATTTTCATCTTTTAATGTTTAACCCTCCGCTACTCCTTATTAGCACTTTTGTCACACTAAATAAGCTTCTTTGTATAGATTTACTACTTAACTTTTCTCTCCTTTAGGAAATTGGAGTCTGCATTGGAAGAAGTTGCTCGACTTCGCAGTGTTATTCAACAAGATAAAGAACGTGCTAATATTACACTTAAAGAAGTTGAAGATTTGCGTGAACAGGTAGAACTTTAAGCTGTTGCATTTTTTTTTAACTGACTTAATTCTGTGTATATATCTGCTCCGTTTATTAGCTTCATGTAGGAAATACTTTCAGTATTTAAGTTTTCTTTTTTTTTTCCTGTAAAGGTTATTCGAAAAAATCGAAAAATACAGAACCTCGAGGCAAAAGTAGCTAAACTGCACGCATCTTCATCTGCAAAAAATGATATCATACTTTCAAAGACTCGGTCACCTTGTCAGTAAGTTTCATGAATTTTATTAAACCTTCTTATCATAATTATCTGTTGTCTTGGTGTCCTTGATAATAATACTACGGTTGACCGTTTGAAGAGTCTACTTCCATTCCATCTGCTTTCGCAGATAACGAGCATTTCAATGCTATACCTCCTCATCTCGTTTGCAATCTGGGCAGCCTTGCTCGGTTCAAACATAGTGTGATTATAGCGAACATAAATAATTGTAATTCGATTGTTGACTTTTAGGGGGATATATTGAAAATCTCGAAACAGTGGAGGCAGCCAAGATGGATGCTCACCGATGACGTTGGACGATATTCACATTATATGGCGAATTGATGGAATTAGGAATTAAAAGACCGCTGTATTTCAATCCAGTGTATAAGATTAGCAATACACTTGTTATCAGACCTGATGGTCCTGAAAGCGAATCCTCTTAGGATCTTGAGTACTTACTTCTGAGAAGTCTCAAATGAGAGTGAAACTACTGTCTAGTATTCCCAGGTATTCAATATTTTTTTCAATAGATATCATTGTGATGAAAACTTCTAAATTGTAATTCAACTTTTGGACTGTGAATTCATTTTAGTAAACATGTAACTACTTCTCTGTTTCACTAGCATAGTTGTCATCACTTCGATTGGATCTTTGCATCTCTGTGCTGCTCTCTATTTTCTTATTATCAAACTAGTGGCAGATGTATTTAACTGAACATAAAAAGTATCCAATCCGTTTGTTTGTGTGCAGCTGAAAAGGGTCACTATCAGGATTTGTACAGTTTTACTTTATTGTTTACTGATCCTATATTAGTTTAGATATGTACTTTGTTGACGATTGTAGGCACCCTTTCCTATAGGATATTCTAGTTTTTCCCCCCCTGATTTCTCATAATATTTAATGATTAATTATTTTATCATATTGTTCATTTTTGTTACCCTTATTTAAGTACCCTGTCAGATCAAGAGAATCCTCGAGGCCCAATTTTCGCCATACAGATCAAATGACCAAGTTAAATCGCTATTCACTATCTTCAGTTGTTCACTGTGATCATTTGAAACCCTTATCAGACTGTACAAATATTTTAACATTGTCATATGATTCAATCTCAGATAATACTCCTTCATTTTTATTGGAAAGTGAAGCGATTCACCTATCTAATGATGCGAACCAAATGAAGTAAGAAATTTTATCTTATTGTACAACCTTCTTCCATTTTCTATATGATTAAATGTAAAATTTTAGCTGAGTTCATCTTGGTAACTAGCAGTGGAATCCAGGATGCGCGTTTTATCTTATTTGGGACTCGTCAGCTGGTTGTACCTGCATCCTAGTGAGTAATGTTGTTCTATTGAGACTTGAATCCTAGTACACATTGCTTCAAACGTCAAAGTGTTATTCACTGGGATACGAGAGCTACCTCTTGTGAAACGTGTGTCAGTTATTGTATATTGATACATGTAATTTCCCGTTGCTGTATGGGGTCGAATTGCTCAACTTCTGTTGACAGATGAGCTTCTATATGGATGCTTCGATAGTGCCGGATATTCATGATGTTATATTCATCTTGGTGTAATCCAGGACTCGCAGTGTCTAAGCATACAGATTGCAGAAGCTTATCTGCCAACAGAAGTTAAGCAATTCGGCCTTGTATATCTATCAACGGGGAATTAAATGCGTCAAACAAAAAAAATTTACGCTGTTTATTTGGTAGACTAATTATGCACCTTCATTATTTGCCTTCACCATTGGAGAAGTCACAACCTCAAATAGTTGAAATATAATAAATTTAGTTGCTCGTAGGCAATTGCCATATGTGTTGTACTTGTTGGCACACATCGGGAAGGCGTATCTACAACTTTAAGAGAACCGATCACAGACGTTATCACTGAGCTATTCGAACGATGATTTACCTCTCGCAGGACCAACTAGATACACTGACTCTTCAGTGTAGTTAGGTCAATTTCATGTTGCCCAATTATCGTTCATTTTGAAACGTGGTCACCAAACTATGAGACTCAGCATTGCTATTACCTAACATCTGTCGACAATAAGCCTCTTAGTTTGGTGATCTTATTGTAAAATGTTCAGTAGAATTCGACCAGCACTTCCGTATAGATAACATGAAGTTGGTTACTCTCCCAATGTATACAATAAATTTAGACAAAAAAGTATCCTGAACTGTATTCCTCGATGGAAATTATTCAGTAGATTTCACGAACTAAAAGATTACTTCATAGCACTTATCTGGTTTACATCATTTTGTTATAATATATCATTATCTTTACAAAAATGCTTTAAAGTAATCCCCACTTCTTCATGTTTTTTTTTAGTCAATGTGAAGATTTCACTGATCTACTTAATAATCTACAATATTTGATTAATGAGTTGAAACGGCATATCAGTATACAAACGTACATGAAATGCTGCTACTCAGAAAATTCATTAGATTTGATTAACGATGATCGTTGTGCAATTGTACATCCACAACATTCAAAATCATGGATTAGTGATACAAGGGTCAAGTTATCAACCTTAATGAATCAACCATCCAATATTAATCACACTAACTTGAAATCTTATGTTGAGGTTAGTAAAAGCCTATTGTAATGATCATAATTACTTCTAATGATGATTTTTACCATTCATTTTTTTACTTATTTAGGTAGAAATCTAACCTTCACTGTAGAAGACATGACTTAGTTACAGAGTTTTGATCATAAATGTCAACCATATGAGAAATGTTGAAGTCAGACAAAGGATACTATGCAAGACAGTCAACTGAGATGATTTTGACATGTACTGCGCATGCCTAGCCACCGCTTACCTTCATGTACTGGGCTAAGGAAGTTGGGTTAAATTTGAAGTTACTCAGTGTCTATCTGAATTATTTGCAGGAGATGCAGATTACTTGACTGGGGTCTTCGAGATGATAGCAATCTGTAGTTGATAACTCTTGGTGACAAAGCTGAGAATCAGTCACATATCCATTACCTTCAAATTGTTGATTTTTTTTCATATAACTTTTCTGCTGTGATATCGCTCTTTTTCTATCGACCTGATCTTTGTATAGTACTGTGAAGTGTGGCAACTTGAGCCGACGTACTTGTGTGTGATGTCCCACATTGATTTCGTCTGTTTGTGTTTCTATCATTCTTGACCGTATTCATTACAATGTTTTCCTGTCAGTTTCAAGTAAGTTGTAATTGATCACTTTGGTTAGAACTTCGTCAGAAAAGTTATCTCTGATCTGTTTGTCATATGTTCGACAAGTTTCATATTTGCCTACCTATCTTAGAAAGCCTTAGCGATAAATATCATTTCTTTTAATGTCTTCAGTAGGTTTATAAATATTTAACACGTCTCATAGAGTAGGAAGGTTTGTTGTTCTTCTAGAAATCTCAGGTACTCATCTTAAAGTATTTCACATCAATGTCACTTTTTTCACATTATTTGTGCTAAGAAGAAATTGAATAAAATATATACCTCTTTTAAGTAAATGCTACAAGTTTTAAATTGTTTATTTTTGTTTGCTTGCATTCTTATCTTTTTTAGTCGTTACGGCGGACACATTATAAACTTCGACAACTATCAGGGAGAATGGATCAGTTATGCTCAAAATTTATTCATCAATGCAACAAACAGTTTACTTGTCAATCGAAATTATCAACAACAGGTTTGTTCATGAAATTTTGATACACTCAACTTTTACACCCACTGAATTATTAAAATCCTGTTTTCATGTAGTTTGATTTAATCAGCTAATTGGCATCATTAGTGCTGTTTTGGTATGAGTGGTCCAACTCACAGACAATTTCTTAGTTGCTTTGTTAATCCCATACTTATTGTATGAGTCTTGGTGTATTAGAATATCATCTAGCTTGATCTCAGGTACAACAAAGGTTACAATCTTCAAGATAAGACAGACAAACACTGGACTCTAGGCATTATTACGTAGCGGTTCAAGTTGTCGTGCTTCATATCAGCACATCAAGGGAGAATGCACTAATATGAAAGATGAAAAAACCACCAACTTAGTGGCCTAGTGGATAACGCCCTGCCGTTTGAAACCATTGGTCCTGTGTTCGAGTCCTGGTGGGAACAATGTCCACTGGGAAGCAGGCACATCCAGCTGACGAGTCCCAAATAGGACGAAACGTGCATCTTGGTTTCCATTGCCAGCCATTACCCATCGAAGCAGTAGAAAGTCACAAAAAGAGAGTAAGATGGAATGAGAGTACTGCAATTCAATGTACCGGTTACGATGAAGCCAATGTGTGGATACGGCATTCGACTCTACTAATCGCATTATGACAGTTTCTTTCATCGGTAATTAAATCAACCCTACCAAATACCTTATGCTGTAATATATGTGATCATGTTTAAGCCTACAGTGAGTGAGTTGTCTACATCAGGTGCTGTTCGTCAAAGATTTCAACCTTTTCCAATTTTATTTAACTCGATCATAAACGTGCTTATTGAAGTACCCCGGGTCGTCTGACTTTTCGTGGGTTGGCCTTGTTACAGGAAACCCAGTTAACCTGATGTATACAAATGACAAAGTCTTATTGGATAAGGATACTAATGTGATTTAGAGTCTTATGACTACTTTAGGTGGCAATTTCAAAGTGTTTTGGATGCTTTTCTTGCCACTCAAATGCAAACTGTTGCTTCAGAAATGGTTTGGGTTAATGCCTTATTTAATAACATGGAGCAAAGGGATTAAGTGTATTGACCACCTTACCAGGGAAGTCAGATCGTCCCTGACGAGTCAGTGACCGACAAAATCTCTTCAAGAACAAAAAAAAGGCTGGATTAGCTTTTGTCAGCTTATTTCACTTATGACGTATAGAGTACTTCACCGGAATTCTCTCTCTTCTATTATATGGCCACTAAAGGTAAAAACTTACGTAGGCTTCGGGTGTTTAATCACCATTACCTTCATAGCCTAGGTCATATATTGTGAAACTTCTATGTTAGAATTCAGGCAGGGTTCTGAGCAAAACAAGTTAACTGAGTGGTGATGTTATGAACCTTCATTGACTTAGGTACCTGGAACTTGTGCTACACATGGTTGGTATCAGTCTATTTCATCCCAAGGTGTTAACCGAAATAGGCTTGTGTCGAACAAAGATTAGATACGATCAAACTAAGATATATGGCAACAATGCATGAAGTCTCTGTTTGTTGGTCTGAGCCATGTAGGCTTATTATCTTAGCTTCTCATGCGACCAAAATCTGTAGTCAGAGGTAATATGGCTCAGGACTTATTTCAGTGACATGAACTTATCCACACATAATCTTCATCTTAATCATCTGATACTTATTATCAGTTAGTGCTTAGCATCACATGTGAAGTTTAACTGTAGCAGGAATTAGTTGTGACACATCTCAGTACCAGCCCATAAAGTGATTGATTGTTGACTTGAACTTTGTTGAAAAGTTCTCATGACTAGTTTGCCTAAGAAGGGTTAGTTGTTAAAGATCAACAATCTGTTACAACTTAGTACGAGATATTGCTGCCTAACAACAGTCCAAGTTGCCATATCTCATATCAGCACAATAAATAACAAAGTGTTAAGTTGAAAGAAAAATCGACTGAAAACAGTAAAAGAGAGGAAGAAGGCATGAGAAATGCTAAATTCATTATAATACCGATTCCGATGAAGATAAAGTGTAGACACATGTACACCATGGACATGGCTTCTGAATCAAATCACCTAGAATTTCTAACCACTGGTTTCTGTTGTCATTTACATCTTAACTGGCTAGTCTACCTCTTTTAATATAGCTCAAACCAACTTCAGCTTACCGAAATAATACAATAACCATTCACTTTTAGTGCTTATGTTCACGCTTTTCCATGTTATCGATATTTTTATTCCGTATCCTCACATTTCACTTCATGTTTTTTCTTACTTTCTGAAAGGCTGGAGAAAAGTGTTAACAATTCTTGTTTCAATGAGTTCGAGTACAAAATTCTGCTATTTGTTTGTTTACTGTTCTGTAGATGGTATAGATTATCCGCGTCTTTTTCTGAATAATGTTTCTTTTTCATAATCTGCTTTATTTTTTTCCTATTTTTTTTCCCCACTAGATTGTTTACAACAAACAGCTGATCTCTTAGGAACAGTTATTAAGCGTCTACATGTGATTTTTGATCGATCAGATGTAAGTACTAATCTATTTGTTTCTTTTTTCTTCTATAAACAAGAAAGTATACAAATACTATTTTGCATTATTTTTTGTACCGATGTTAACTCAGTGCCTAAATAATTCAATCCTTTGTCGGTGAGAATATGTTCATGTCTAAATGATCAGTTTTAATGTGAATTGTTTGTTTTACTTCAAAATATGTTTATCATTTTAGCAGTCTCACTGCGTAACGATCCGAGTTGCCACAATTCATATCAGTACATCAAGTAACAAGGCAGTATAATAAAAGATGAAGAAGGAAAAAAATCAGTCAAAGAAGTGGGAGTAGAAAGTAGTAAAGGATAGGAAGAAAGAATGAAAAGATAATGTGGAACTAAGCATAGCGGTTAATGTGAGGATAATGTGTGTATGCATCTACGTCACTGACATCGATTCTGAGTCATATCACTTACAGTCTCCAACTACTGATTTCTCTTGTCCCATGAACTCCAACAGGCTAGTCTGGATCGCCCTACATGGCTCAAACCAACAGTCAAAGACTTCATACATTGATGTCATGTTTAAGTCTGGCCGCCTCGAGTCTTTTTTTCAGTCTGAACCTACTTCGGCCAACATTGTGTAACGAGACAGACGGCGACTAGGTATACGTAACACATGTTCCTGCTAGCCATCTCAGTCGATGAAAGTTTACAACAGCATCAACTGACTTACCTCTCCTGCCTAAAACTATACGTCTGAGTTCTGCGTTACTCACATGATGACACCACGAAACACGTATTGCTCACATAATCATATCAAAGAAATAACATAACTTTGGATAGCTGGTTATTGTTTGTTTTGCATGATGATACGTGGTCTTAGAACTGAACTTTTTTTCATCGAATCAACATCCACTACATGTAATAGGAATGATACAAAACGTATGTCGAAGATGTGATCAATTTTTTTAATACCACCACAAACAACGAATACGACATAATAGGACCATAAAAATCATCTGATGAAAGTTGTGTGATTACTTTAAGATGATTATGTAAGTGATAGTTTATCCTGGAAACACCATCAAGTAAATGATGCTGTATTTATTATTATTATTTGTCCCTTGGGTTCCTAGTAGCACATCTCCATTTCACTCTCTTCTCTGCAGTCTTTTCGACCTGGCTCTACCACTGCCCAGAAGCTTTCTTTTCTTCCTCACACCATCTCTTCCTTGTCACCCTCGCCACGGACGCCCAACTCGTCGTTTCCCTTTCGGATTCCACTCGAGGGCCTGGCCTGGCGCGTGATATCCCCAGTCGGTCTTCTCAGTGTATACCGGACCCAATCCATCTCCACTTTCTTCTGGATGTTTGCTGGGTGATAGGTTCTTGGTTGGTTTGTTGCAGGCCAGAGTTCCTTGTTGCTTATTCTTATTATTCTGGTGATCTGATCTTCAGTATCGAGTGAGCGTAGGCGGCAGCTGAGTCCAGTGCAACTGATCTCCGCACTTATTATTTCAGATTAATGAAGGAAGAACTGTCTTGGTGTCTTTTCAAACCTGGCCTTGACATTCTCATCTGTGCCACCGCCCGTAGTTGAAACGTGCTGCCTAAGTAGGTGAAAGAGACAACTTCCGCTAGATCTCTCACATTGATGGTGAATGATGCTTGTTGTTGTTGGTTGGGTATCTTCATCACCTCTACGTTCACTTGAAATCCCATCTTCGCTATTTCCCCGAAATTCTGCCAACTTGTTAGTTTTCTCCTGTAGATCTTCGAGTTTGTGCGACAATACATATAAATCATCATCAGCGAAATCGAAATTATCTTGTGGGAACTTCCCATCGGTCCAGCGAGCGTATGCCCCTCTTCTCGCTCGTCACAGTTCGTTACATGATGGAGTCCAGTTGACCACAATGAGGAAGATGATGGGTGATAGTAGGTGGCGGCCTTGTCTTCCTCCTGTCCTATGTCTTCACTTGAAAGGTGTCAGTGAGCTTTGTATTGTGAATCACTTGGGATGTTGCATCTTGATATAGCTGTTGAGTGAGACTGATAAAGGTTTGTGGTACTGAAACGGTAGTGTTGAAGCAGCAGCTGCCAGATTAGTTGTGGGTCGACGCTGTGGAAGGCGTTTTGAGAATGGATGAAGTTGAGTTGAGGTAGAGAGTTGACTGGCATTGTATGCTGTGTTGTGTGATGATGATGCGTAGTGTAGCGTTGCACTATGATCTACACATGATTTATTGTTGGTGAAGCCAGCTAGGCAGCTAGCCAGCCAGCCAGCCTGTTCCGGTCGTAATTCTGTATGCAGTGCACCTTCTAGTCTCTCGAGTATGATGTGGCATAATATTTTTGCTTGGTGTGGACGTGAGTGTGATTCTGCTGTAGTTGTTGCAAAGACTTAGGCCTTGGTTGTTTGGGAGTTTGACAAGGTAGCCTTTCTTGTAATTATCCGGCAGGTGCCTTTGCTTCCTTTCTTCCAAACCTTCTTGAGTAGTGGTGTGAGCATGTCTTCTGTTGTCTGTGTGTCTGTTTTGAGTGTTTTTGATGGAATTCCATGTGGTGCTGCTGCCTTCCCGGATTTCAGCAACTTTATGGTGCTATTTGACTATGCTATATGAAGCAAACAAATCGAATATGGAGTGATATTCGACCACAGTGTTTAAGTTCAACATTTCTATTTATATTTCGATGACATATTATGTCTCTTTCTTCCACTGTTGGGGGAATTTCATCCCACTTACTCTGAACCACTTTCACTGATTTCCCATTTCTAGCGTTACCAGTTTGCACTGGAGTTTTGAGGACAAATCTACATCTGGAGAATTAAATACGTACTACCATACATGTTGTAAGATCAACATGAAACTGTGCTTATGTTGTCTAGCTTTATATTCTACTCTATTCAAAATGCAGACAATCAGTGACATGCAATCACTAATATAAGAGGGCTAATGATACTGCTACCTGGTTGATCGAACTGGTGACTTATTGATTAACAGTCATCTCCCTTAACCAGTGGACAATCAGTCCGTGGCCCGAAAGGTTTATAGAAACTGTGAAGATAACTGTATTCCGTAAAATATCTCATCTTTTCCAACATATCGAGAAAATTATGTCAATTAAAGTAGAGGTTTATTACATAGTTACTTAGAGACAAGTATCAACTAGTAGCAGTTGAACAGGTGTAAGAAGTGTATCTACAGAACTTCCATTGTTTCTAGGCGAGCATTTATTCTTCTCATACCTTGGAAATGTATTCAAGATATGAGGCAAGGTATGTAGTGTAGCAAAATTCATTTTCAAACTGTCTAAACTGTTTGGCCGTTTTACAGTAAAAGTGTCTTGTCTATTCTTTTTGAATAGTTTACTCATTGCTTTTCTTATCCTAAGCCTATTGATAAACTGTAGTCTTGAAGCTGTTACTATTTGGTGGAAACTCTCCATTTACAGCCACTGTATCGCAGGCTCGATCCCCACCCTACCTAACAATGTCAGGTACTATCATCAATTAACCCTTATGCAATAACTGTAGCTTATGGCCTATTGTGTAAACATGTTAGTGGTTACTGAGTCACATTTCATTCTTTTTCTTCTCTGTTATATAAAAACAAACAAGTCAATCCTTTTATAGTTAGATATTTTTAACTTCCCAAGTCTTTATACTTAGTTAACGACCCCTTATGAAACTTTCGTATGGTTGATATCTGAATTTTTTGGTCATTAATCAAGTTTTTTTCACTTTATTTCAGGTATATGTTGACAATAGCACAACACAAGACGTTTTTCAAGATTTGAACAAAGTTCTAGACAATATCGCTTACTACTCATCTACGATTAATAGTTGAGATTATGTTATAATATTTAAAGAAAAATATTCTTTCATATTCTTAAGAGCCAAAGATTTGTTCAGCTTAACAGTTGATTGATTACTATTTTAAAAGGATATCAATCTAATTGTATCTTTTAAACTCAGTGTGGTAAGTTTCATTGTTTTAATTTATTCAACTCTCTTGAATATTTTATCCATATACAAATTGATCATTATCCTGTTTTAATCTTTCAATGAAAATTGTTGACAAGTTTGGTGTTGATTAATGATTTCCTATTGAACACCTGAATTGAATTATTCATTTCAATACAATTCACCTAACTGATCGTAATGAAAATAAAGGTGCTTAGAAAGATATGTTACAAACTATTTTGTTTTGTATCCTAATTTCTGAATAGCGTATACAGTAAAATTGAGTTACAGAGGCTTAAAAATGTGAAAATCTGAGAATGTTTCATAAATAATGCTTTGACTGACAAATAGAAGTTTAACTGTTTTTTCAGCAATTATTAGGGTCGATCATTCACTCTAAGTAGTACGCCACCATCTTCTATGTGACTGTTAATGCTGATCTTGAATTGATTCCCTCTACTGTTATTGTTAAGGGTTCTTATGCTTGGATTTGATTCTGCTTCTACTATTGTCTTACTAGTTGACTGACTCAAACAGGAGATAAGGGTAATGCGCTATTACGCACTAGATAATGGCGTTCTTAACAGAATACGTGGGAAATGTCGATGGCGTAAAAAGTGTAGTCTATCTAATCATAGAATGTTAGAACAAATCCAAAGAAGCCCAATGGAAGACCAGACATTACTTATTGTGAAATTTCAGTCTTTAACGGTAAAAATAATAAGCCTTACAATGAAGTCACGTTTGAAAGCATATTCTTGTTCGTCATCACTGTATCCAGTTTTCTTCTTCTTCTTCACCTTTCTACTCGATACTATTTTTTCGCTCTGTCGAACCCGGATCAGCCGACTGTTTATCACTTCTTGTATTTCTTGAAGGCATGCAATATGCTCCTAGTATATATTCTTATAAGTAGCGTTCACCTAAAAGGTAGTGAACTTAAGGTCACTAGTGATATATTAGTTGGTTATCCCTCTTATTTCGAGTAGGGATAGAATATTCCTACCTTCTTTCAGTTGTGCATGTGATGCATCGTATGATACATAACAAAGGTTAATCTGTATTTTCTTCAACCTTGTTACTTTTCAAGAATCCTGAGATTTGCCTATTTTTGCTTTTTGGACATGAGAAGGCATCTGATAAGATGTCGATCAGAAGTTGACTCCATATTAGATTTGTTTATTTGATTTACAACACTCAGTGATACAGTAATATTTACTTCGACGCTTCGAGCATAAATTACCACACTGCTCATAATCATATCAATGTAATCACACAGCGCTTTCCACATCTGGTTTTTATACTCCTGCCACCTCTTTGTTTCTATTAGTAGTAAAGTTTTCTGTATCTTTAGTCTAGGTATTGTGTCATTTCTCGTACATATATTGGGTGTTGATTCGATGAACAAAGATTCCGGAATCAATCTCTCTCTCCCCCTAATTATATTGGACTTAAGTCCAGTGGTTTTATCCCACAACTACAACATAGGGTGAGATAAAACCACTGTACTTAAGTCCAATATAACAGAAACGACACAACACCTAGACTAGAGATATGGGAAATCTTACTACTAATCGAAACAAAGAATAAAAAGTCCCAAGACTGTAAAAACCAGATGTGGAAAGTGCTGTATGATTACATTGATATGATTATGAGCAGTGTGATAATTTATGCTCTAAACGTCGTCATCAAGTAAATATTACTGTATCACTGTGTATTATAAACCAGATAAACAAATTTAACATAGAATTAATTTCTACACTTATATTAACGAAAGTTGACCTATTTGAAATTTTTTCTCTCTTGCTTGTTATTTTCCATGTCAACTACTACTACGTTGCCCCTATCTTTTAATATTTCTTCAATCTTCCAATATGACTTATCGTCTTAAAAAGAATTCGTGTAGATTTAATCACTTGGCTTAAATGATACAGACTTGGCTTCGTTTTTCAATACTAAACTCATGCTCTATGCTTACATACCTCGTCCCCTTATTCGCTTTAGGTGATAGTATATGGACTAGGACAATGTTGGCGTTGATGAAGAAAGGTTTGTGCAAGTGACGTACAATTTGGTAGTGAGAATTTCTGTATTCATCTATATGCTAATAGTAATTTGTGATGGATGGTATTGATCTTCCTATCCCCTATAGTTTTCGACTTTTCAGAAATTGTTCAACCCAACCTTTACATTCCTAATTAGCTGGTACTGTACGATTATTACTTATTCCGTTGACTTTGCGGAAATCTGCGAATCCATGAAATATGAATTGAGTGTCAGATATATTGAATTCACAACAAAAATTCCGATAGCTTATTGTTGGTGTAGTTCTTTTCCAGTGATGATTATTTCTGGTTATATTTAGGACAGACATCTAGGGCCACTAAAAAGCGATGATTTTTATTTGGTACTCTCTGTAGTCAATGTGAATTCGTACCTACTAGCTATCTGAAAACAGCCATGGGAATTATTCAGATTTTAACGGCATTTTTGCTCAATGTGTACAATGTTTCTGTGAAGTTGAAGACATTAGAAAAGCAGGAAAGGATGTTTTTATCCTGTATGCGAATACAAACAGAATTTATCAGCTACGGTGATCACAATTGAGAGTTGATGTGTGTGTGTGTGTGTGTGTGTGTTTGTATATGATTTTCTCTCCACGTTATGTGCTATTTCTGTGATCCCACAGCATTTTAAAGCCATATGTATACCTTTCTGTAGATTTCACAAAAAGTCTCTCATGCAACTTGCATCAGCCTATGATCTCATTCGTTTGATCTGGTCTCTAAGTTGATGTTACTGAACACTGTGTCAAATCTTCGAAGAATAGTGACAACTTTCTCCATAATTTCCCTTTTTCGAAATGCTTGCTAGTCAGAGGGATTGCTAATAAATATATTTGAAGTTGCATATTCCTTTAACCAGAAGGTAAGCACTGCACGAGAGTAAACGTTCTGAGATAAATGAAACGAAATATAATTTTGATTTGGCCTAAGTACAAATGTATTAGGTAGATTGGTTCAACTATACTTGGCACATATATACTCCCTGAAGTTGGTTAAAGAAGTTTTCTTCTTTGCCCTGATCTCAATAAGCTCAACTGACTATCATTTGATATCGAATTGGCTCACTAACACTTTTATGCATATTGACATTTATCCGAGCTGTAAGAAAAATAAGAAAGTTAGTAGGGCAGTCAATCGACGCACATATGTAGACAGTGGTGTTATCATTGTGAATTAGCTGATGTGACGTTAGTGGAGGGTAGGATCAACTCTTACTTTTTTACGATTTGAAGTCATGAAAACGGACGATAATACTTAACGATTGATAGTCCAGGGTTGAAACGATTCATCCTGAGCGATTTGCAAAAAAAATAAAAAGACTGAAAATCAGCTGATTTTATGGCATCTCGGACTGAAAACGTTTGCTAGTGAAAATGTACCCTATTTATAGAGTGTACAGTAACCGTTAAAGGCAAAAGATAATTAGTACATTTAAAGGGGTAAGAGCCAATCAGAACGCTAGCAGGTCATACAGAATATGACCCATGCAAGGGAAAAAAGAGCGCTAAATAAAACAGTTCGAATATACTTATACTGTAACCATGGGATTTAAGGAATAGAGATATCCCTAACACACTTAGTAACTCGAGAAATGGTAACGGTTAGGGCTAGTGTTGGGCACTTCCCCTCGCCCAGTTCATTGATCATGAGCCGCAACATTAAGCCCAAACGGTCAAGTCAGGAACTGTGCTAAAAGCAGATCCCAAAAACCTCAGCAGAGGTTAAGAAACCAGAAAACAAATCCGCTATCGTGCCATACTTCATAAAAATAGGACACAAAATTGACTGACGGAACTAAGGTTGTACGAAAAGGTTTTGGGTGATACCAAGAAAGACTAACAGTCGAAGTTCTACATATATGGGCGAATCCAGACAGTTTGAACAGACGAGATGGAGTACAGTTAGCTGCCTCTTGGCAATTACTTACTAATTAGTAAGAAGAAAGAGTGATTCAAAACATTTACCGTCAACACTAGTCCCAACTCCATTATTTCTGCATGAACACAACCTGGACTGATTTGATTCCTTAGTACTATCATCATCACCGTTACTGTCACTCGTTTTCACTCTATTCCAGTAAATCAATGCGAAGAAAATTCGTTGACACCATTCATCACTTTATTCCAACTGAAATTGTATAATGTCACCAGTGTCTTTTTGTCTATCATTTCCAATCAATTAGAACAAGACATATAAGCGAACAATATTGTTTTCAATTAGATCCTCTTCAGGCTTTTAACTCTAATACAAATCTATATGATTGGTTTAATTTTATATATATTAAACTATTTGTCTTAGAATTAAGCCTGAAGAGGATCTAACTGAAAACAAGACTGTTCACTTATGTCTTGTTCTAATTCACGTGATGGGAATTAGCAATCAAGACGAATATGAATTGGAGTACATACATACATACATATGCCATACAACAAAAGACATACAATTTCACACAGAGTGATTAGTTATCATAATTTAGAAGGAGAATGACTATACGAAGAGGATTGGCCAACGAGATTGAATACACGTTTTTTGGACTCATTTGCATATACCCTTGGGATTTTAATTTTGATTATTTCCTTGAAGAAGCTCGGACCAGACTTCCGTGCGAAACATTGAAATTATTTGATTTCAACCTCTTTGTGTCTTACACAAATACAATCTATATCTTATGTCAACCTCTTATTCCACGCCCAATATTTGTCATACTAAACGATCAAATTTCGATCGTAGTTTATATTAATGTATTCAAATAGTTTGAATTTCGACTAGATTCCTTTCAAATCGCACTGTGTCTATTTCGAACGTAACTGATATTGTA